TGGCATTGGAGGCTGTGGTGGTTGCATCGCATGTCCCTTACTGATCGCAGAAAAATTAAACTCTATGCAGACATTTAGTAAATGGTAGAAATTTTAACGAGTTGTATGGGTTTAAGCTGTGCATTTCCTGTCACCATTTCAGCGTTGTTGAAGTGAAATCGCTCTCCGCCGTCCCGTTAGTTGAGGTGTGGATGAGGTAACAACCAACTTTTTAGGCTACTAATGACAACACTCACTTTACTTAACAATATGGGAGCCATAGGTTGGGGTAAAGGGTCAGCAAAGGGTCACAAACCCCCATCCACAGCATTGAGCCTTCTTCTGCCATGTTAGTATCCAATTTTCGGCAAGGGAAATCGACGTAAGGACTGTAAAGATCGAGTTTGCCTTCTCCTACTACATTTACGCTCCTCGCCCTCCTTAAGATCAAATGGAAGCCAGTAACAGCAGACGACAAGCGGCATTAAATGGCTTGAGTGGCGGCTAATTTAACCAGAAGGCAGTGCTTCCGATAGGAAGTACGGCAGCTTTGTGTTATGATGTAACTTGTAACTGCAAAATGTGACATTCTAAACTGGAAATTTGTGTTCTCTCCACTCCATCCTTTAAGTTTGCAATCCTTGTTTGAACCGCATTTCCGCCATGGCGACATCTCATTGACCACCTCCTCCGACCCTCCGGATCACGTTCGAGGACGAGAGACGCCTCGCATATGGATGGACTTTTAGAGCACGGGTATGCAAGAGGACAGACTGCCCGCATTCCATATCTCCTTACCCTCATAAGAGAAGAAAGCAACCTCCACCTCGTCGTCGCTATGCGGGCATACACAAACCACTACACACACCCAATTAGTGCAAAATGTCTCTGCATTAAAGCAAATTTTACTACAGTAAACCGTAGCAGCGATCTCCTAATGAGGAAACTTATTTATTAAGGAAGGAAAGAGAAGTGAAAGTGCTCAATGGATGCTTGGTGTAGCAGTAACGGCAACACTTAACTGGTTTCATACGTTGTTTTGAACCTAACAGCACAGCAGAATGCTTTGCAGCCAGCCCGATTCAGATCGGACATTGTAGAAGTTATAAAAATGAGGTGTTTAATTTCAACGCTTTAATGCTTTGTTCACCAGACGGCCCGCATGAATGGCAGTCATTTTGGTGTTCGTCGTGCTCTTCGATGCGTGGACTGGTCGTTGGATCAATCCAAAGCTCAGTCCCTTCCCCTCCACCTCGACAAAATTTACTTAATTTTACTTAATGCTTTCTCCTACTGAATGAGAAGTCTCAGAACGTTGCACTGGTGGAGGTAGGAAGCTAGTCCATCTGTTTTCACCGTAGATGATTGAAGAGCATACCTCGGACAGGGGAGTACCTACCCTCTCCATAACAGAGGGGATGCGAACAACGTCTGCAGTTCGGTGCTTGCTCCAAACTAGTGCTGAAACACTGCCGTAAACCATTTGGATGACTTTTGTTTTGGACTTTTGTCAACGATGCTATTGTGCTGAGTCTCCTCCCATTCAGGACTGTGTTGCATTTCGTTTTTCTTACCCAAAGTCTGGCCCTTGAACACCATTGATGGCCAACAAAAGTTCTCTCCTCTGCTTCCTATTTTTAGATCAAACGCAACTCAAGACCAAGTTGAAGATGCTGAAATGGTCAATTTTTGATCTCATCAACTCATAATAATTTAATGACCGTCAAGACTGATTCGTGGATGCTGAATGACGCAGGAAGTTTACCGAGGAGAGCGCGAACGACGTTGTTCATAAGAAGAGCAAGGCAATGCATTCTTTTGTTTGTTTGATTACCTCGATGACTGGTTATCACTTTGGTTTAATTTTGCTCTTGTTTGGTAGAAATGACCTTCTAACCAAGCCCTAGCCCACTCCCCTCCCCTTCGCCTTAAATACGTGTATTCTAAGCCCTATTTAATGCCTTCTTCTGCCAGATGGGAGGTCTTGAGGCGTCGCAAATGCTTCCACTCCGGTTGATCAGGCTTTGGTCGTAAATTATGTCGCAAAAAGCGACTCCAAAGGATTCCTAAGAACTTCGTTTAATCAAGCAGTTGTAGACTTGTAAAGTGGGTAAAAGAAAATAAGTCAGTGATTAATCATTCAAGGATCCTGACGCAGATGTCAAGCCCTCCGCTTTGTAAGTTGAAGGATCATTTCCAATTCCCAACACCGTCCTGCCAATCATTGTGCAGCATTGAAGTCGAATGCTCTGCACTTTGCGTCGCATTCACTAACGTTGAGGGAAGTTTGACGGCTTGAGGATCGAGACTTGGTTGCATGGACTCACTAATGGGATAAAACTGCTCCCTATCTTGTTGGTTTATCAATTCTAAGAGTAAAATACTTATTGTCTTTTGTATTAGTGCTTTTGAGAAGCAACCGCATACGTCTGTGGGACCCTGAGATAATCTACCAACTGCTTCGAACATCAGATACCCTTAGAGGGGCCATCCTTTTTGACATTTGAATGTACTTTAAACGCACCACCAAGGTACAAGGTTAAACCGCCACTATAGCAACGAGTAACTAAAGTGAGAAAGAATCTTTTTACACTCGGACTCAGTACTAAGTTTTCGTTGGTGGTCTTCAAAGCCTCCAACCGACGCCTGTCATGTAACCACTGGGTCGAAAGACTCTTCCCATCAGAATACACGCAGGTTATGTGGACATCGGCATCCTCGCCTTAGACGGCAGCTCACAACTGCGAGACATTCAGTAAAGCAAGAAGATCATTTCCAAAATCTTTGTACACATCTTTCCCTTGTTTAGCACTTCGCTGTACATAAAAATAACCGTTTATGATGCATAATGCATTGATAATCAACCTGGTGAGGTTGTTAATTGCTCTCTTCAACCCTCTTTGGCTCGCATCACTGCTTCACCATTATTTCCAACTGTCTCTTTTGTATCGCAAAAAAAGCCTTTCAAAGGAGTTATTTTTCTTCACACAAGCAACTTAAACCTCACAGGAATGAGTATCTCCCATTCACGACAAAGTGGGATTTTGGATGTGGTCGTTGCGTTGGAATCGACTCCAACACACCGAGCAAGGAAGTGTTTTCGGAGGCTAAAAGACTTCTCCCTACGCACAAATTAAATTTTCTTTTCTTGCCTTTATTTCCTTTTGGGTCGCGAAGTTAAGAAAAATGCAAGACTGAAATGTCACAATCACTTTTTTAATCTTTGAATGGTTTAACGGAAGCACTCAATGCCACTTTGGTGACAGGCGTTCTGCCACTTCACTTTGTGCAGTTCCCTAACAATGAGTGATGTGCAACTTTAGCGATTCCTCTGCTCTCATTGCGTAGGCAGAATGCATCATTTTCCTTCTTCTCCAATCTTATCTTTTCCACAGGGAGGAAGAAAAGCCTATTTATGTCCTAAAAAAACTTTGCGTAAAGCAGGTGCTACTGTGGTGTTGCAAGTGTTAAAACGTCTCTAACCTTTGGGCGTCAGTCATTTTGTTGAGTTCGCCCTTGCCTGTGGTCTCTGATGATGCCGGTGGGCTTTTGTAGTTCTTTGCACATCTCCACCACTAGGTGGTGGGCCACGAGGATAAAAAGGTGAATATCACTGCCTATGTGAAAGTCCAACCGAAGGACTTCAAATGACATTCACCCTCAACAAATGAAGGGGCACAAGTCATGAACCTTTGCGGACTTAGTTATTGTGCGCACTTTGAAATTCTTCTCGCTCTAGGCTGTGTCGGCTGGCCTTCGGTCCAAGCCATAACTCAACCTCTTTCCATCCTTCCCTATTACGAGTATTTCAACCTTACTTAATGCCTTCTGCCATCAAATGAGAAGCCTCGAAACGATACACTGAGGATCGTTGATACTTCCTCACCTCTTCGTAGGTTGGATAAAATCCTGATGGCAGCATGACTGAGCAGTAGTTCAATTTGAATAGCGCTAAGGCGATACATGGACAAAACTAGCCACCCTCAAGACTATTTCACATTACCTTCTTTATATTATGACTGTTGTTTTATGCCAGAGAGCAGTTAATCCCGGCTCCTGGAGGTGCTAAAATGCTTAGGTTATGGCAAAAATGGACGAGATCTCTCAATACAGCATTTCTGTTCAGCTACGTTATGGTAGTCAATCTAGGAAGTCAATTAAGGCAGATAATTGGGAAAGATACCGAGAGAGGAATCAATTTGTGCACCATCATTAAGTGGCTTTATGTTCAGGTGAGGCAGAACTCTTGCATGATGCCTTAAGGAGTGTGCCATTATCTTTACACAGTGCATAAAGCAATGCATTACACCTTCGGTATGCCTTTGAAATTCTATCTATACTTTAAGCAACGAAATTGACGATAAGCATAGAGAACAACTAGAAAGCCACGTAATTTGCCCAGTGCACTGAGTCTTTTAACAAAAACACCAAATTAAAAACCAAATTAATGAGTCATAAATCTTACCATTTATTTACAGTGCTTAAATTGTGCTTTTTTGTCACCTATATGGAAAGACTCGGTTCTCTTCCGCCCTTCTCCACCTCACCCCACTCCATTCCTTGTCCCTGCTTCACACCATTGACAAGCATTTTCATTCTATTAGAGGGCACTGCTACTTTTCAGAGAAGACTGAGGACAACGCCTTGCTAGCAGTAGCGGTTCCCTTAAGGTCGATGGCATTTTCAACAACCACCAAGGCCATCACCCGTATGGAGGACGCATCTACAATCGCTGGCTCCTTACTACTCCCAGCTGTTTCTCATCATTTTGGCAGAATTTTTATGCAGCCTTTTATGCCTCCCATCGTGTGGTAACAAATAAGCTTTTTTAAAGGATTACTGTGCTTTATTAGGATTCTAGCACGAATTGGCTTGTCAAGACGCTCGAACATACCATCAGTCAGTGCATTGACTTGAAGTACTCTTTAAGCCGCCTTGATTCGAGCATTTGTCAGGTCACGCATTTCGAGAGAGTATAAAAGGCATGCCGCACCCACGGCGTCATTTAGTCCACCATTCGTATGAAGACTTTTGGCGTCTTGGCTGTTCTCCTTCTCGCACTTGTTGCTATCAATGCAGAAAAGGTGGCGGACGACGAATGGGACGTATCAAAGGAACTGATAAATTTAAACAGTGAAAATCTGCCTGATATGTCACAGAACTTGAAAACAACCTCCCACGGTCTAATCACCTCACCTTCTCTCATCACGTCTGCAGTTTGTGCTCTCCTTCTGCTTCCCCAATTGATGCTCTTCCTCTCCTAAACGCCTAGTCTTCACTGTATTCACATTTGTTCAAATCGGTAGTCAATCTAAGTTGCTTCTTTTCCTTTTCACCTTAACCATTTTGTATTTAATTGGTTTTTTGACCTACACCATTTGTGTGCAAAGCCAAAAGAATTTTGCAAGTTGTAGTTAAAGTTAACAAAAAAAGTGAGTACAAACGTTTCAATGTTAAAGCTTCATACCATCAATTTAGATCTTTTTGGGGTGCTTCACTTTTGTTTTACTTCTTCACCCAAAGTTAACGCCTTGGGCTGCTTAGCATACAGAATGGCTTGAAAATTTTAAACTCCGGCGGGTTTTAAGTTGTGTGGAGGACTACTACTGGTAACACAGTGGAAGGTGGAGGTTACGTAGATGGAAAACAACCTCTCCTCTCTGAACGTTGCAAATAGAATTTTGAGTGGAGCAATTAGTAGAGATTTGGGTACCTGTCTGATGTGTGTACGATGGTTTCTCCTTAGGGAGGATAAAATTAACCAACATATCGGCTGCTAGTTCAAATGAGCAATAGCTGGTTTACAGTCGACCGGAGGTTGAGCAAGCTATCCACCTTCTGCAAGGCTTTACACCAAGTAGTAGACGACTACATGAACACTGTCACAACTGTCACCTCCTGTCAAGGTGGGTGCAATATCAGCAGCTCGGTCTTCTCCAACTTACATCACCACATCTACTGATATTGCGACCATCGATGTGTTGCCAACCTTTAAGGACCAGCCTCTGATGCACTTCGTACTGCGGCACTTTTTCGTGCTTCCTTGTAGTTCCGCACTGTGGTTTTTTTTATGTAATGTCTGTTCATTCACCTGTGTTACCACTTTAATCCTCCTTACTGTTTCCCTCCTTTGTTAGCTTTCTACCCTTTCTGAGTCAAAGTACTCTTTTCATCAAAACGCGTGTCAATTACATTCTAATTTTACTAACAAATCAAATTTTTTTGCATTATTTATACTTAAATCGAAATTCTTCCCCTTCCCACATAACGCGTTCTCTCTGAACCTCGCAAAGAAAAACACTTCATTCTCCTTAATGTCTTTGTGCATATTAACGTCCCAGTTACGATTGCGTTCATTTGAGTAGCCGTATTGTCTTTTTTCCAATTCCTTAAATAGAGTGATGAGCATTGAAGCCTCATGCTTTCTCCAACATTTACTCCAAGCTGAGGTTTGAAGGTCCCAACAACAGAAGCAATGCCGGGAGTAAACTATATTTGAGCATTTGGCTATGGAGTTTCCCTACCACATCTGCATAGAGCAGTTGACAAACCCCAGATCAGAGTCCCAACGTCTCAGATTGTGTTCTCAAACCGCACGAAACTCCAAAGTCCTTAGCAGCGCCAAGAGAACAGGATAAATGCGGTTAAGAAATCTCGGTTGCATTTAAATTTTAGGACTTCTAAGAATGGATTCTCTATGGTTATGCGAGACATACGACGCAAAAGGTAGATAAAGGAGAGTGCAATGCGCGAGGAGCAAAAGAATTAAGAACTCATGTGATGCATTTGTCGTTTGTATAACTCTCGGTTGCGGATATTTTCGCTTGGATTGCCGTGCTAACTTTGTAGACGGACTGAACTCTTGGCCTTTTTATGACTCCAGTTCCAGCCGTATGCTTTCAAGCGAGTCTCAAACTGCAACAATATTGCACTCATTCACAGCGTTAAAGCTATTTTACTAATTTAAAATTAAATAAATAATGCTAATTTTAGGCTTCTGCAAAGGTCTATGCGCACTACTAGCCGAAAAGGTTGTTAACCTATGCAAATGTAGCGCTATTAAGTGAGTCTGCTCTTTCTACTCTTAACGTACTGGTTTGAAGCGCTGCTAGACTTGCCGTAGAAACAAGAGGCCAAATATACTCGCATGATAAACACAAAAGGGACTGAACATGGCGTGGCTCTGAGGTCAGCCTACCTGGCCAAGGTCATATGGCCATCTAAGTGGCCGTAACTAAAATCGGCAGCCAAACAAAGTAAGGCTTGACACCTCTTGCAGCGTCCAGAGATTTCCCACTTGGATGTACTGCTATGTTTATATGACCATCTGTATATCCACAGGTAGCTGATATTTGTCCTAATTTCTTACGTGTAAGATGGCCTTTGGATCGAGTCAAAGCTAAACCCAGCTTAATGTCTTCTTCTGCTTAGTAGGCAGGGCTAAATACTTACATTCAGATAGAAAAAGAAGAAGTAAGGCTGTGGTCTGGACGCTATCCCACACGGTAGAAGCATAATGTCCGCCGTTCACGAAGGTAGTCAAATGAACAAGTTACTTCACCCCTATCCATTAACTCAATTTAGTCGATGTCGAACTAAAACACCAACGAGCCAAACGTGCTAGTTAGTAGGATTTAATTTTTGCGAAGGAGAAGTTGAGTACAGCTTCATCACTTATAGCAAATCAGTTGGAGCTAGAAATTCGCTTAATACAGAAACTTCGCTTAGCAAAAACGAAAACGCTCGGTAAATCATGTACGTATATGATCAGAAGTTAGGAAACTAATTTCTAATCCGATTTTTAAGATTATATAGGGTCGAAGCTGTAGTCTATATGCTAATATTTGTAGGATGCATTTATAGAGAAGAGGGTTGCTGGTTAATTCGACCACAAATACTGCAATTGAAGAAGGCTAGGATCCTTCCGCCAAGCAACACTGGACTGTCATCCCATGCATACACATGCTCCTTCTGGTCTGCAAGGAAAGCCTAATAAACTCTCCTTCAAATTGTCTTAAAATTAAGGGCTGAAAGGTGTGTAATACATAGGTAATGTGACCACTTTATGTTTGGCGATCATTTCAAGATTTGTATGGTCTTCGTACAAATGGGCTGGCCTTCGGGTCACCCTAGGCCTAATTATCTATGCCTCTTAAAACACATGTATCCAGCTTCACTGACTGCTTCTTCTATATGATGGAAAGCCTCAGAACGCTACAGATCCTACAATTGTAACGTCCTGCGACTCCCCATTTAACAGAAGAGGAAATAGACTGGATGAATACTTGTACTCAGATAGAAAGGGTGGAAACCAGGCTATCACTTATACCAAAGATCAGCCTGCGCGAAAAGTCGAGAGCGTCACCAAAGTGACAAGCATTTATTGAGGCAGTCACATTAGCAAAGTGATGCACTCACGCACTTAAATCGTCCAGGTCTCTATGCGGGCTATAAGGGTTTAAAAACTAGCGAGAAAGCAATCGTCTGCTGTGTTCAGTGTGACGAGCCAAAAAAATCGGTATATAAAGTTCAATATTTGGGGTTGTAACAGTCGAATTTGAAACATTGAATTGTCGGGAAATGCGCCTCAAAATTACGTAAAGATCTGGATAAAAGATGCAAGCTTAATTTTTTTAGCTGAAAAAAAGTAAAGATAATGAAAAAAGATGTAATCTTTGACGAAACTTCTTTGGTGCAGCGTTACTGTTGGGTAAGAGTTTATATGCGTCACAGGTCACTTGTGCAAATTGGCGGTGTTCTTGAAGTTTTTCCTACCACAGCTGATCGTATACTTCGTGGGCTCCCGTCATGACTGACGAGTCAGTGGGCACGATAAAGGTGAAATTTAATGGCCAGCTTCTTCAATTGGATGGCTTTTCAAGGGAATCGCCTATCAAGTGTCTCAAGGAAAAACTTTATCAGCTGACCAATGTTCCGCCAAAAAACCAAAAACTTCTTGGCTTGGTTGTTGAGAAGGGTAAGAAATTCCTATATGTATTGTCTCCCCTAAGGTCAGACACTCTCTGATGAGCTTCCTCTCAAGCATCTGATCCTTAAGCCAACAACCAAGCTGATGTTGATGGGTAGCACAGATGAGGAGAGAGTAAGTTGCGCCAAAATTAAAGTATTTTGTAGAACAAAGTCATTGAGCTGTCAAATGCTGAGCCTCCAGACGTTATCGATGATTACGATTTTACAGAAGAGGATTTGGCAGTGTTTATGAGGCCAGAGAATCTGGAAAAACTGGCTAAGCGGTGTAATACGTACAAATTTGTTAAAATAGCTGAATTCAGGCCCGGTAAACGTCTCCTCGTCCTTGACATTGATTACACGATTTTCGGTTTGTTACATCTTGCGGTTTATGATACCCTGTCCTAGATCACCTAACGCCTGCTGAATCTGTGAAACACTTGATGCGACCATATCTTATACCTTTCCTCACGAGAGCCTATGAATTCTATGACATAGCCATTTGGTCGGCCACCAGTATGACGTGGATTCTTGCCAAAATCAGTCAAATGGAACTAATATCACAAACTATTGTAAACAGGGTTCGACAAAGACGGGTTGATGTTGACAATGAGGACTCAAACTCTGTTCCTAATCTGGGTGCAGATCTTGATGATACTGATCGGCCCTTTAAAATTTGTTTACTGATTGATTCTGGAGCTATGATTACTGTTAACCTCCCCAATCATGGCGTCAAAGGGGTGAGCTGTTCCTTTGATTTTGAAAGCGCTGAAAATCCAGTACAAGTTGAGTTCAATATCTATTCGGTTCCTTGTGTTTTATTTCCCTTGCGTGAATGCTTTTCTAGGTTAAACCTCTAGCAGTAATATGGCGGAAGTTCCCTCAATTCGGTCCACATAACACTATCATGTTTGACGATGTTCGCCGTAATTTCGCCATGAATCCCGGTTCTGGTCTCCGAGTAAGTGCCTTTGTTGCATCAATCCAAATTTTTTCTATACATAGCTTACTCTATTACTCGTTTTACAAGATTCATTCGTACCGAGACGCAAACGTCAACTATGCGGAGGATAAAGAGTTGATGCACCTCGCGGACTACCTTGAGTTGATCGCGCGGCGTGAAACGGACTTCCAACGACTGAACCACGATAAGTGGAGTCACTATGTAGGGAAGCATCAGCGCTACCTCTCCAATCACCAGAAACGATCCTCAGATGAGGCTACTGAGGAGAATTGCGAGGGCCAGGACCAGAAGCGTCCCTCCTTGTCTTGAGGTGTTTTTCTCCCCCTTACCTTTCTATACACACCCCGGTTCTGTTTTTAATTGTAACTAAAAAGAGCGTATTGATTACCTTGAGATTTTAATGCGGTGTCTCATTGCATCGACACTCCATTTGATGTACAGGAATGTTTCAGTTTTCACATTTCATACCTCTTACGGTTGCGTTTCGTCACCCCTTGTCTTCAATAAGAAAAGTCTAAACTTGTCGAACTGGATGCTCATTGATGTCCCTCACCAACTGTTTCCCATCAGACTGTTCACATCTCAAAGCATCACTTAGGGTGAGAGGTTCGGTAGTCTGTAGCGCCAAAGGAAGCAGACTCGTTCCCGCAAAACTCCTATGTTCATCAGCCCTAGATCGGCAATAATGAAGACCGGACAGTTGGAAAGAATTCTGAGTCTACATACTGACTCAATCTCGAAAACTTCATACTAAAGCACCTGTGGAGCGCTTGTAGAACTTGTATTAAAATTGTGGCATGTGGAGGCGTTTATATACAGACAGGAAATGTAGAGAGGTGGGACCTCAGTCAACAGCTTCTGAGATTGTTTGGAGAACTTGTAAACTTCGAGAGGAGGGCCTGAATGACAACCGCGAACGATTGAAATGCAGATCCATCTTACCTACAGTTCCATCGTAGCGATTTTTCACCACCTGTTGGGCAAAATGGGATACGGGATAATGCATGCAAGGCACTCGTTTCCTAGCGGGTGGAATCTCGATGGCATTTACTGAAATAACAGTAATTTGGGCAGCCCTGATGAGGTCAATAGTTTAAAGCTTGATTGCAAGTTCACGGATTTGCGTGACAATATAAATGTAACATTTCAGATTTTGTAAAGCGGAAGCTTGATTATTAACACTTGGAGGGTTGAGCTTTGTTCAGACGTGATGCTATCGACCAAAATGTTTGCTAAACAGCCATAGAAGTCTGTGAAAGCCTGATTGATGGTCTTTGCCATTTTGCTAATTGTATCAGGGTTTGTGCGAGCCTCACTGTTAATTAAAATTATGCACTACGATTGGGCAAAGTACATGAACAATGAGATGGTAAATTGAACTAATCTACTTTGTGCCTTTGAAAGTTTATTTAATCATACCGCTTGAACCGACCCGTTAGGCAAAGTGTTTGTGCCCCACGAAAGTTTAACATCAAAATATATGTAACTGACAATTGATAGTATTACGGAAATTCTTTGAAAGGTTTCATTTTTGCCTTTTTTGTCACTATTACTGACAAGACAACCGGAGTTTAGTAGAGTATGACCTATCTTTCATTGGCATAGGCATTTCAATGATCAGGACTCAAACAGCAATAAGTGTGGTTGTATTATCCAAGCTGCCACATACAAAATTCAACATCAACATAGAGCCTCAAACTCACTCTTAACAACTTTTGCGACTTATTAGTGCTTTGAAAATAACTTTAGTCGCACAATCTGACCTTCCTGTCACGTGAATAATGGACGTCACAGACGCCGAATGGTATTTCGATCAAATACGCGAAAAATTAACATTGAAATGTGACAAGTGGTAGCTAAAGCCTTTTGTGAAAGTACAACAATTCGTTCTGCAGCTTTCTCCTTTTCTGATGTGCACAAATTTGACAATATTTTTAAAAAATGACCAGAGCTGGTTGATTCACTCTCAGCATCCCAGTTGCAACATGCATAAGCATACAAATTCAAAGCAGTCCCTTAACATCTTCGCCAAATTCTAGTATTGCAATCGCACATTGATAAGTTCACAAAAGCCTTCTTTAGCAAAGCCTTTTACCAGCAAAGTCGTCACGAGATGGCATCTGCAGCCGCCGAGGAAGAAAATTACGGATAATTTCTGTTCGTTATCTAGCATTCACTAGTAATTCACAACACTACCCATACGTCTGTGGACACAAAAGCCTCAAGTAAATTCTCAAAAATCTTGTACGACGTAAGCTCCAACTTTACATTGGAAGGTAACGATCACTGACGAAATACGACTTTACCTGAAGGTACTTTTTTGGGACAGCAGTGTCCACCTCCTCTTGCATCAAAAGAATGTTATCAGCCTCCTGACCGATCTTCCCACCGCCATAGAGGGAGTTGATGGTCAGCAGATGGTCGCTCTCCAACTTGCGCGGGTGCACCACAAGAGTGAGATGGGCGCCACTGTCGGTAGCGAAGCCACGCAAACGCTCTACGAAGCGGTCCTGTCTCTGGAATTTCTCCTCCATCCCTCTACTTCCAGTACAGCCCATCATGAATTGTAGGTTGTCTAGAATTACGTGTTCAATTCCATCACGCTTAACACTCTCCTCCAAAGCCTACGTAAAATAAAAAATGAAGTTAAACAGATTCTGTCGAGTGAAAATGTTCACTTCTGACACGATTCTTTGGAGCTAAAGTTTCACCACTTCTCGCACCCCCAGCGTGGTTTGCATTATCTTAGCACATCATTGCAACAAAATATGAATGTCCATTAAAATTATACATGGTCGATAGCTTGAAAAAAAATTCAATGTTCTGGGAGCAGTTTTTCGGCAAATATACTATCTCTTCTAACGAGCTCTCACGGAATGAAAAAAATATGCTTTTCTTAGACCAATTATAAAAAACTCAGAGTATTCATCCATATTCCCAATCGTTCAAGGTAAAACATCAAACACGAACAAAGTTAAACTAAATATTAGACCAGAGACATTAGACATACAAGAAAAACCTCCTTCTCAGACGGCCGACCATGTGTGCTTAAAAAGAACATTGGCACTTCGTGCTGAAAGGCTGATGCCCAAGCTGCAACGCGCATGGATGACTGCGGACATAGCTGCTCGCTAAAATTTGAGCGGAGGATGAGCAAGGGCTTTGCCATACCCTGCAAATTGATGTAGAAGAGTGCGACAGATACGCGGTAAAGGCATTTCGAAACTACCCCAGAGGGTTCGAACACCCTGTTCGGCAAGATCAAGGGAATACTCACAAGCAAAAGTTGTCTTGCCCACTCCAGTCTTGCCAGAAAGGACGGTCATCTCATGGGTTCGGAATCCTTTAAGAAGCTTATTCAGTTCCTTAAAACGATGCCACTGAACACCCTGTATTTCAACAACATTGAGGATTTCATTTAACGTCTTTGCCAGTAAGTCGCCATCAAATTTGAGTATTTTCATCATTCATCCAAAAGAAGGGAAATAGATTCTACAACAAAGCTCATATGTAACTATCGATGAACCAATTCTCACAAAGAAAAGGGAACGTAACGCCCCTACGGACCTATTGACGATCACAAAGGCGACTAAATAGTGCTGACTCCGTGCCAATAAAAATATTCACTATTTTGGGTAAACTAACTGCGCATCTACTTTTAAAGTGAAGTGACTGTACCCGATCAGAGAATTACCCCTTTTACGAAATTTGTTAGTTCCTAAGAGCTACACCATCAAGAATCATGTGTGATGCGACATGAAAATGTAACCATTCTAAACCACCTTGAGACGAGCAGAACACGACTATCACAGTAGTAGCCTAGGAAAGCAATCAAATGTCCCGAACATCGCAGATGGAAATTTCACGATCCGCCCAATCATCAAACCAGCTTTTAAAAACATTGCTTAATTCACATTTAGAAAAAGATACTTCAGTGTGAAGAGCCATTAATACTTCACAATAATAGCAACTTTATTCCTTTTCGGATTAATCATATCACAAAAATACCTAAATCCTGCAAAAATTAATTAAATTTCTACTTAATTAGTTTAATTAACAAGTGCTCGAGTGTCAAACAGTGGATTAAATAGTTAGAATCTCATCCAAATTTTACTAATCGCCATGTTCTGATTAAGTCCATTTTTTGCTTCCCAGACTTTAAATTTAGTTAAATGTTTATGATCTGCCACATTTCAGCGATCATGTGCAATTCGGCCTTTATCACCAGTCAGCCCATTAGTTCACAACCTTCCGGATCACGATTAGCCGTCGCTGAGTTTCTCACGGTGAACCACAACGTTATGGAATTGGAATTAATGGAAAAGATAAATGAATTGACAGAAATATGTAAGGAGGTGGTTGTAAGTTTTCTACTCATCCATTCGCTGTGTGCACTAGGGTGCGGAAGTCAAGTGTTCTTCTCAACTTTCCTCACTTGATTGGAGTCAAGTCAAAACCCATAAGAGCAAGCACTCTGTCGAACAAAGAAGACGTTGGAATAAAAGAATTCAAGAAGCATCCCATGACTTAGAAGTCCTCCAAAAGTAAATTCTCCGTTTCGACTTAATGCTCTTTTCAGAACTCTCCTTCGAGCTAGAGACAAGATTCTCGATTTAAAATCACTTGAACACAAAATAAGCAAGTTATTTTTTAGTTTTTAGTAAAATTTTAACTTGAGAAATAGCAAAGGGTCCCAGAAATATGCGTCGGGGTGTTTTAATGTCACTTCTGCAAGAGAGTGCGAAATCCATCCCCATGTGGGTGGGGAGTGTTAATGAAACGTTAGTTATTTTTCATCTTATTATTAGTGCAATATCGGTCACCTCAACTGGACATCTCCTAACCGGAATTTCAGTCCTCCTCCTCTCTGTGGGGCCATCGGCGCCGGTAACAATCTGGACACAAATTTAGTCGCTCCTGGTGATTACGTCGCTGCACTCGTGCCTGATCTGGAGTGTCCCGATGCAGAGTTCACGCCCAACGAAAGCTGGATTCTTGCAGAAGTCATTTCATTTAACCGCGAAAAGCGCCAATTCCAGGTTGAAGACGTAGATGCAGAAGAAGGAAAAGTGTGCGTCTCTAAATTTTCTTTAGTTTTTTTGTTTAATATGCAGGTTTTCTTGGTTTGTGTCCTTATGTATTCTTATGGTCGAACTTTGGTTTTTCTCCCCGCTTAACATTTGTCCGTTTCCGCTCTTTTTTCTGGCATTACTGCAGTCCGAAGTAAGTTCTTATCCTTCGCCTTTGAGGTTACGATATAAGATTATTTTGTACTTCCCTTCTTAATCGCTTAATCGCTTCATTGGAGGGATATTTCACTTTAACTCTTTAAAAATGGTGATTTGCTTTGCATTATTCTAAATCATTTTGCTTATGCTTACCAAATTTTTAGTTTATTTTGCGTTGGTATCTCTCCTCAAAACTATTTGTCCTTCGTTCCACTTACTTCACTTTATACTCACATTTCTTATTTCTAGGCGCTATACTCTAGATCGTTCGAAAGTAATATTACTGCCGAAGTGGAAAGCTAATCCTGTACTTAATCCCGATGCCATTTTCCACAAAGGAACGGTAAGAGATTTTCTTTAAGTTTTTTGTTCGGCGATGTTTTAGATACGATAATTTTTCGAGTTTGAGTAACAAGAGACATATTTCTTTGCGTTGACTTAATTGTTCTGTTAATTTTCCTTTCTAAAGCTGGTTCTCGCACTCTACCCCCAAACAACATGTTTTTATCGGGCCGTTGTGGATACTTATCCGGCTCACGTAAGTCGGTCTGGGCATTTCCGTAGCAATTTTTCGCACTTCAAATCTTTCGGGATACCATTTGCCCTTCGAGCTTTATACTCTGCTTAAGTTGCTACTTGCTTTTGAATTCAACTGAAAATCTGCTCTGCCTACTTGACTGCAGACCTAAAATGACTGTTCTGTCAAACAACTCTCCTGGCTACTTGAATTTCTTATCATTAAGCACGGCAGTACATTCTAGTCAATTAGCACCATTTCGTAGAATCTCTGCTCTTGCATCGTATTAAACACTTGAACTTCTGATGATCCACGCAACAGTACGTTGGTGCATTTGCATTGCAGGCACACGATGAATATTCCCTCTACTTTGAGGATCCCAGCTATCCAGATGGGTATGCTCCTTCCATTCGCATTCCACAACGCTACGTGATCCTCTGTCCCGAAACTGATCGCAGAACCGCACGACATAGTCGAAATCGATTATCATACAAAAAATCTTAGGTTATGTCCCCTATGCTGCTCTTATAATCATCCGATAATGATATACGTCGTATTACTTTATTTGGTCTTCGATGAAATCAAACGGAGATCGAATATTGAGTACACTAAAAGCGAGATTTCATGATTCTTCCGAGAGCATGTTATGAACTGCGTCTAGCAGGTCAAGCGAAATGAGGGGGTCTGTTTCTTCTGAAGAGACATCGGAATCCTGGAAATTTTCGGAGTTCATGAGAGTGTCATGGAGGACGACCGACTTCATACCGTTGATACTCAAAACGAGGTCAGCAGAGGTGACACACTTGGAACCCTTTAATTGAGCAAGTTTTTTCTCTATATTGCAAGAAAGTGCCGAGAGAATGAGCGTTACCTAATGTGGCGATGTATTCTTCGGATGTCTTCGCAGTGCTTCTTAAATCGGATAGGTTTGCCGTCGCAATCATTCGAGACACAAGCAACATAAAGGAGAGGGCTGGTGAATTAGGAGCTTGGACGCTATCGGGAAAATAAAATAGACGATTGGATTGAAGAGAGTATTCTAAATTCATAAAAATCGGTTGAGGTTAGGGTGCGAAGTTGTGAGTAGTTACAGATCAAACTTGGCAACCGAGTGGAGATGCACAAGCTAAAGTTGGTGCAAGGGTATGGTGACAGATTTGACACGATTAAACATGCTGAGGGAAGAGGTAAAAGATCACTATGCTGCCTACACAGAATTAGAGGGCATTTAGAATCACTTTCAAAAGATGAAGTCGGAATGCAATGCACTTCGGAGGAAGTCCTTACAAGCAAGTATACATATCGGTAGATGACCTATCATGTGTGGATTTCAATAATTTTAATAAACCATAACAGTTGCTTAGCCTCATAATGACAGGATCTCAGGGATGAAAAGCACGTCTTACGAATAACGGAAGTTAAACATCGACAGAAAACCAGCTCGCACCTTAACCGCAGTATGGCAATGTAAGACACTGGTCTAGGTCAACATTCAGATAAGAAGGAGGCGCAGTTAGGTGGCAAGAAATTAATTTTATAATGTTCCAATACTTCTCATACGTTAAAGGTAGACAATGGTTAAGAGCAAGAATGCGTGTTCTGAGGGGAATGAATGAGGCTGGATTTAGCATAAAATAAGATAAATTCTGGATTGGGCGCCAATTATAAAAGCAGTCGAGTGGTGGAGGCGTTGTATTAATATCTCTCTGTTTTGCATCGATTTCCTTGTAATATATACCACTGCTTAAATATACCTTTATAGGGGAGAGGTGGGCATGAGGGGTGTGAAGATTTTTGCCAGTTTCATCGGCTTTACGTTTTATCAATGGTCCCATTTCCTTTCTTTCTGTGCACAATGCAAAATAAAGTTTCGTCAAATATATCTCTCTTGGAGTCCAAGATTCAAGGGTACGAGGGTAGGGCAGGCAGGCTCTACTTATCTAGCGTCCTTTGCAGTATATCATCCTTTTTAGTCATCCGGACTAAATTGGCGCTGTAAAGCATACCCGTGAGCAATCCCTGCCGGTCATCAATTACCAAGAAACTGAGGGATTGCACAAGACCTCTATAACACCTTCAATTGGAACTTCAGTTACATTGAACCTGAGACAAAAAATTTACTTAACCATCAACTGAGTTCAAGGCCAAACATTGGAACACCACACTGCAATAGCTTGTGTGACAGAGAAAGTAGGCACGCACAGTTTAGTATCCATACACAGATGCGACAATGACAGCTTTGGAACATTGCTTAATCCAGATGGTTCACTGCGTTGGAAAACGTTATGATGGCTGTCGCTGGAGGTTTACCAAGGGAATATAAATCAAGGCAGAGAAGATACAATGTAATAATTTGTAAATATGACTGCTTTATATGCATTGGTTGCTTTAAGATTCGTTTAAACCTCGTACGCGTAGGCTGGTCTTCGAGCCAAGCTCAGGCTTAACTTTAATGTTCCCCCTAAAATGCACGTATTCAGCTCCAATTTGTGCCCTCTCCTACCCTGTGGGAAGCCTTATGGGGCTACAGATTCAATGTATACTAGTTTGTTTAAGTATAACAAATGCCAAATAAATCGTCTGCAACCATCCCTTTATTGAGGTCCAAGGTTCAAAGACAGGAGAGTGGGCAGGCAGTTCCTACAACAGGGACATTATAAAGTGCTGTGTATCTGTCTACCGACATGACTGGCAGCCACTTTGGTATTCATATTGCTATTTTTGCGCAGGCGTACATACGGGTCCATCTAAAGCGCAGCTCATTCATTTTCTCCCTTCCAACCAACATTCGACTCTACCTAATACCTACTTCTTCACACTATAAAGTCGTATGTTATAACTTAACCTTGTTTAGATGTACACATTAGAGTGAATTTTGAATATATTTAAAACAGCATTTTTACTAACTATTAACCGTAATGAATATACTGATGTTATTGTTTTTCCAGACCAGTGATTAAGTATGTTTGTCAGGTAGTGCGAGTGTTGTTTCGAATCTCTGGGCCGGAGTTGTGGCTGTAATGTGGTTTGGTGGTTTGTGTTCGTCTTGGCATTGTTTATTGTATGATTGGATTCATGTCGTTCCCCATCTACTCAAACGTATTCTACAGTCGTTGCGAATAAATGTCGTTGACCCAAGTTGTAAGTTTTTCGGTCACAGTTTATCAGGCGTTACTTCTTCGAATTTCGTAACTAACATTCCGTTTTTGCAGTTGATCGGGAGTCTCAGGACATCACATCTTATTCTGTGAATACCTCATGTTGCGATGATGGCAATGTGTTGTCCCCAAGCATTATGGGTAGGGTTGATCCACGTTCCAACAAATCTTGCCTCTTCTAGTCCAAGAGCCGCTAACTCGAGTCGAGCCTAATATTAAACATGACGACTATTTCTTTTTTTGTGATATTCTTAAAGGAAAACTTTGGCGAATTTTTAAAGTGACAACCATTGAGAGAGTAAGATTTTTCTGCTTATTGCAATAGCTTTGTAGATCATCCGTGGTGCAGCGGGGCCAAGTGATTCAATAGATCGATGGCTAATGCTTCTATTACGCGGTGATTACCATTATGATCTCGATTTGGACAGATCTCGTGGTCATGTTGTTTGGGCAATTGCCGGATTTCTGCAAGAATATGTGAGTTTGATCGGTAAGTTGGCATCAGTAGTCTCATTGGCATTCATATGGTTCTGCTGTTTATATTTTTCATCATGGAAAAGAATGCTTTTAACAGCTCATAACCAGGTTGCTCTAATGACGGTTTTGGTTTGAATTACTGTCTGCTTTCGCCCAAACGTTGCTGCTATTTGGGTAGTGCTTTTGCTTTCAAGTATTATTTTGCCACCATCCTCTCGTTTTTCTCATGTTAGATCGGATTGTAGAAATCATTGGTGTGGAAAGTGCATTGGAATTCTGCCACCTGACTGAAGACATTGAGAATTCAGGCGGCTTGTACACCGTGGTATGCCCCTGGTGAATTTTATCCATTACTTCATGGTTGCTCTCCATTGCTTTATGATCACATCAGGTCTCGGTATTCTCACGCCACTATTCCAGACCTGAACTTTTGGAAATTTAACCTAAACAAATGCACTCGCCTTTTCCTCATCTATGCTTGAATTGGGCATTTGCCTGAATCTATGTGTAGTCCCCCTTCGTTATTGCTCATTTAAGGATGGAACACGGCGCCGAACTCCCTGTGGTACTTTCTTATTCCTTATTCGACACTCTGAGCGCGTTCCCAATTTTGAAAAAGAGATAATCTTTATGGGCCCCAAGAAGGCTGTCAAAAAAAGGTAAGGCTATAAGCTTTCTCGCTTTTTGTTGTTTTTCGTGCTGAATATTCGCAATTTTTGACTCTGCTTACTGAACATCTCGAAGCCAGATAAACAGCCACGACTACGGTGTTTTATTTCCTGACGTGGCGAAAGTTTGAATACCTAATTTCACTCGGTTAAAATAACTGCAGTTCTAATTTATTAGAGTTGACTATTCGGCGCAGCACAATTTAGTCCCATTGGCTCTTCAATGCTGATAAATAATTAGAGTAGGTGAAATGCTACCTATGTGGCCTACTTTACTTGGTTGGGTCTGTGAGAGCAATGCAACCAGGACTTGGGAAACTTGGATGTCTTACTACTTAAGGTTGCAATAATTGTCGTGGAGCTTTAAATATATCCTGTTTCGATCATTTTAGATATCGGAGAACGCGACGACGAGCAGCTACATTGTCGATGTAGAATCACACCTCTGATCATGAAGTTTATCTACCTCTGGACTTACCCTAACCTAATGTCTAGATTGAGTAATCGGTGGCTATGTACTGGATGCCTTCTCATGTTATCTTCACTTAGCTCTGTATGGAAAGCTTCATCCTTGCTCTAGGAACTGCTCTTTTTGTTGAATTTTGTGATGGATGTTTTTTAACCTATTGATGTGAACACACATTTTTATTTTATGTCAATTTCGCATATAAGGGTTGTTTTTAGTGGCTCTTGTATTTTCTCTCTATAAGCATGCCTCAGTTCGTTCGGCGCGTGCAATGAGGTAGGTATTTATGCCGCTTTTGGGAACGTGTATCTTATCAGCATCCATCTAGGTCGAATACTTTAGAATGTTCCCCCATTGTGGCAGACATTTTTCCGAAAGTTTCTTGCATGTTCTCCTTAGGCCCTTCGTTTGTGTTGTCGATAACGGACAATTAGTAATAAAAAGTAGTTAAGAAATGTCCAGTTTCTTCCGTTATCCCAAGTTGTTTATCTGTAGGCTAGTTCAATTCTCTATGAGGGTATCTGGTGTTTGGGTACATAAGGCTAAGACAGGAGACTAGCTTGGTGCTGATTTTTGTATTTACGGACAAGGACATATGAAATTAGCTTGATGGAAGTATGAATTAGGGGAGTAGGGATTCAAGGACAGTTTGTCCGACAGTCTAATTGTATGTACTAGTGACGTGGCGGTTACGAGGATGTAGGCCTGATTCCAGGATCAGTACATTGTGGTACAATGGTCTGGGGGTAGGTCCTTTCAATGTGCACCCACAAGGACAATTTTTATTCATCGACTTCCTTTATAGCCCTAAATCCTCCTTCTATGCTGGAATGACTTGATATGACACTGAAGTGGGTTCAGTTCACTGTGTTGCAAGCGACTTAGCTACGAGTGGACTTCCACAAGTTCAAACTTTTGTCGCAATTCGGGCGTTTAAGGTAGTGGTCCTCCTATTGTGAATGTGTAAACCTATACGGATCCTGTAATAGAATGGAGGCCAGCCCAAGTGTCCAGGTCCAGACGGATATTAGAGAAACTGCCAGACATTAGGTGGTCATAAATAATGTATAACACAAGGAAGCAGTAAAGTTGTCGTAGCTTCTCTACCGATATCCTTTAAATTTCCAACAAGTGCCTCCTCTCTAGGCCATCTGCTCTTGCGAAGTTTACTGAGTGCTGCGTACAGATTTAAATTTTTGCTCTAAGTTAGCTCCTCCAACTCGTCGTTCAAATCGATATCCAGCTTCTCACCTACGAGACACTTCTGAATATCAGTAATGTATTCCATGATATCTTGTAGTGTTTGAATCTCGGTAGTGTACAAGGGCAACTAGGGCCTGATTTTGCATACGTGTCAGAGCTTCGTCTGACTTCGGATATGGTTTTGTCACTGCAATATTCTTCTACTGCAATTAATTATAAAAGTCATAGATTTAAAAACTAATTATTTAGGCAAAGTTACATTTTTCTAATTTAGAGTCTTTTACAGTTATAGCCCATGCTGCCACTTTTCATTTGAATGAATCACTCCAGCTAGGCCATTGTGTGGGTTTGCGTGCGGGTTGTTTTTGCCTCAGGTGATTTCTTTTGACTGGGATTTCTTAAAATATCTGGTTTCTTTTGATTCCTAGAGTTTTTTCATGCAGTTTTTGTTGTTTTTTCCTTCTATGCCTTATCAGATGAACTTATGGGTCCTCCATGTAAGCTTTGGGTAGGTTCTTATTTGTCTTGGGTGGATATAAATTGAGTGCTATTGCTACTGTTAGGCAAATTTTATGTTATTTTAGATGGATTTTAACTGACAGATTGACGACTTTCTTGATGAGTGTAAAACTAGTTCCATTTAAAACCATTAACATTATTTTTCCTTCTTTTAAATTTGTAGCAATGCGGTGCTAGGATATTAATTTAACATGAAAATCATTATTCCCACTCTAAAACGTGTTAACCTTTGTCGCATTCTAACTTTCTACGGGTTATCCATCCATTTTCTCTTACATTTAGCTAATTTGTGTGCTTCCTTTTATTGTTATGATTTTCAGGTTCGCATGGATGTCTGAAATTCTGTGTTTGGTTTCTTTTAGGTGTTCTACTCGTCACTGGACGCTCTTTTCGCATGGATCCGGAGTCGGACCGCGTGCAACTATTCTCTGCCCTTTTAATTATTGCAGCGCCGTTGGTTCACGCTACAGTGTATAATGGTAGAATATTTCACTATCTGTCTGCTCTTTGGATGCTTTGTTTCATTTTTATCATATTTGTTCATTTTGTTTGTCCTATTTCTGGTTTTCTGATTCGATCTTGAGACGAGTCTGTCATTTGACATTGAGCATTTTTCACAGACAGGTTTTGACAAAGGTACTAAGATTGCATCCTTTGCAGTTTACTCAATTACGATCCTTATTAGGGTTGTTATTTTCCAGTCTGTTGCTGTGGCAGTGTTAACAGAGTACATCGCATTCATTGCTTGCTAGGTCTAACGTCTTGTACGAATTCGAATTTCATTTGAGCACTTACCTCAACACTGTTGATTTTTCCATCTTGCTTAAGTTGGCTCGAGTCGTCAGGCCTTGTTCGATGCTCACATAAAATTTGCTTTTTTTCCATCACAGTTACATTGCCTAGTGAAACGGTCCTAGTCTCTAATGCATCAGCATGCTTAATGACCGTTGGAGATGTAAAGGATGACACCCCAAGGATCTCTTTTTCCTTCAATGCGCCACCAGAACAGCCGGTTCTTCTTTACACTTTTCACCACTTTAATCTGCCGACACGCAACTTCAACACGCGTGAATTTTGCGCGGACTTTGAGTGCCAGCTTACCAAAAGGAATGGCGACCTTATTAGCGAGGTAAGTTCTTTTTTTCAAATTTGTCTGATTTTCAAAGTCATTTACCAAGGCTGTTCCTGCCAGTCATATAACTTGGAATTCATAACGGATGGGGTAGATTAAGTTTCAAGGGGTGCAAATCGGTATCGTTAAACCGTCTGATTATTATCGCCATGCAGTTAATGCAATTGAAAGCTATCGTGTACAAAATGAGCCAGCTTTAGGACATTTCAAAAATTAGTGAACTGTTGCGTTCACTGTTTTACGGCTTCGTTCATTTGAACTTCAATTCATGCATCATTCATGCTTTCCACGCAAGAAACCCGGACGCATGATGGCCTGAACACTGTAGCCGGTCTCAAAAATAACAGCCTATGACTAATCGCGAGGACATTTGCATAATTTGAATGCTTTTTTTAACCGCAATGGGCTGTGTCGAAATTTTTACGCTTACATACGATGGCGCTATTGACCACTGTACAGATAGTTATGGAAATCCTTGCAGGTTTTCATGTCGTGTGACGTACTCTTTAATGTGTCTATTGATATCATGCTTTCGCTCTATTTAAAACGCGTCACTAGCTTGGCTTTTCAAGTAGCTTCAGCTCCTTAAAAGTATCAATTGTTGGATTGGGAGAACCTGTTTTCTGCCCCAAAATTGCCTTTGATATTGTTTCTTGTACTTAAGTTGGCCCACTCTATCGATTTCTTGCTATGTGAACTAATGTTTTTTCCTCCATTAACTTCGAGACCTTAAGTTTGACTGATTAACCAAAGCGAAACCGGCCAGATATCCTATTTCTCTAATGTCCTTCCTGTTCCATCCATTTCTTTAAATCCTTGGAATGTTCCTTTACTTAAGCTTTAGTAGCCTTTGGAGTTTATACACAAATGACAGCTGACAACTGCAGTCTTTGTAACAACATACGCTGTAACACCTTCTAGATCAAGGCTTCGTGTCGTGACAACTCGAATCCTAACCTCTATGGTCCCATTGTCACCGTCCCTGAGGCAACGAACGTCACTTGTTCCATCATCTGGTACTACCCCGAGGACAAGAGTCTCCTTAATGGCTCCATCAAGTTGATGTTCGTTTCTGCTTGTATGTCCCTTTTACTCTCATCGGTGTTACTTGAGTTCTCTTAACCACCCTATGTCATCTCTGATTCATATTATTTTTCGGTCACTATACTCCAGATAACGGCGACTGTGCAGATGGTCCTTCCATTTGGAACAACTCTTCCTCGTGGTGCAACGTCGAATTGAAGGGCTTGGTTGATCTTGAATATGTGGAGACTCACCCGGTTCTATGTCTAGAGAGGACTGTAGTAACGCAAGTCTTCAATACCACCTGTTTAGGCTACATTGAACGTCCACCGTTCTACTCCCCTCTATCCGTAATCATCATCATCATCTGCACGCTAGCATTTTTCCTGATCCTCCTAATCATAGTTCTTTGCTGCATTCGCAAGCGCATCGCGCGTCGGAAAATCCGCAAAATGCAGAAGACGGCTGACCTTAGGGCTAATCAGCAACGCAGTAATTCAAATTTTCAATCAGGGAAGGATCTCCGACAGCCTTGTGAAGTTAACATGAATGCGACTCCACAGAATGGATGTTATTTCCCATCGTCTAATGGACTACACAAGGATGTTGCCTCGGAGGATGCCGAGAATGCGGACTTGAAGGAAGCTGAGAAGGGTGAGACTGAGCCATTGAATGCGGTGAATATTAATGCCCTGGTGGTGCGAACATGAATATCACCCCAGTGTCTAATGGGAATTCGGGAGATCAAGGAATTGAATCATTTTCTTATCAGTCGAAATATAATATTCTCCCCTAATTTCACCTCCTCTATTGACTAAGATCTGCTTTTTGATCCATTGCTGAAAAACGTAATGCTTTCAAATCCCTATGGTACATTTATTGCCCAAGATCCTATGTGTCTGTCAGTCATTTGGAAGACAATTAATCGACACTTTTAGCTGTCTTACCAGTGGACTTTGTTAGGACCTTTCTTATTGGTGCAATTGATAAGATATGTAACACCAAACCTACGCATACGTACGTACGGGTGCGCGCGCATCAGTCCTCCTCTTTGACACTATCTAGTCTACAAAACTAATCCCTAGTATAATTTCATTGGATTCCTTCTGCAGTGCGCCTAGTCGGTTTCATTTGACATGTTTCCTACTCTTGAAAAGCTTGGTGTTTTGCTATAGTTCTCTTATCTCCAACACAGTTCTAGAATTTGCTACTGTGACTAATTTCAGTGTCGCGTCTGGATGGTGGGGGAGCCATATCTCCGGTATCAATGCTTCATTCATTGACTTGTTGGTTTTGCTTCGCCTACGTTACTACATTCTGCCTAAAGGTCGTCCCATTCGGTGTGGATAGGGGAGTAGTTGACTTTTCTATTTACTCAGATTTCGTCCTACTTGTTGTAGTTGCGAAAAGTTCATAATGGTGAGGTTGGGCCACTCATTGCCTCCGTGGTGGTACGATTCTTCATTTTTTTCTTTAGGCTTCTACTTATAAATAAGCGAACAGTTTTCAATATTTACTATTCTTGTACAAAATAGCATATTCATTTACTATAAATCTAGCAGTCCAAAGTGGATAGAAGATCATGAGCACTGATGTGAGGGTTTGCAACTATGCATGGCGTGGTTGGCAAATACTGGCTCTAAATTTGTCCTAATAAGGTCAGTATTCCATTTTTTTTTCTCAATTTATTGGACTTTAGCTCTACGATCTTGAACAATGATTTGATGGTAAATGTGAATGCGCTCTGTCAATAGCCTACCTACGTACTTGTGGATGGAAATTTAATTGCTTCAGACAAGCAGTCAAATAAAACGAATAGTTAAATGTTTTACCCTTTTTTGTCGGACCTCCCCACCACCCTACGATCATTTGGCATGTGAGACAACATTTCCCACGTAGAATGATACGAATGTATGAAGTTGGTGATTCACAATCCTTAAGCCCAGCATCCACCGGTAGGGTGATTACTTTATTTTTCGTGTTCACCAATGTCCTGCTGAGATTGTTCATGAGTAGCTTGGATATTAACATTATTAAAAATTGACTAACTTACAGAGTCTCATTGAAATGTGTTTGTCAAATCTTACACTTGCATTGGTTCAGTTTTAGGCCCAAGTCTTGTTCTTTCTCTGACACCATGAGTGAGCAGATTTTACTTGTTCAAGAGAGGACTATGAAATCTGGGTGGGTTCCTCCACCGAGTGTATGTTGATGGGAGTGGAGAACGGCGCACTGGAGAGTGCGGCGAGATCAGAAGTAATCATTAAAGAGGTAGGATACTGGATAATAAAGCAAATTTTGCATAACATAAGGAAGTTTGATGCGCTATAGTGCGTGAACGTGTGCCTTGGTGATGAGGCTTTTTCAATTGTTTGTTTGACTCCACGCGCACTTGAGACCTTACGAACCATACTTTCGACGTGCCACCTAGGCTTCCGGTTGGTACTAGCCTCTCAGTTCTTCTACATGCTAATATTATTTCTCATCCCGCAATTTTGAGAAATATTTATGCCTCTAAACGCGAATTAAGTAGCTTTGTGTGTAGATCTTCAATTGTTTGCTTAATTCTCTCCCTTTACGCTCTACCCGGCGGACTGAATGGACGTTGGAAGACGGTGGAGTCGAATGCTGGGTTCTGTGCCATTGGTAGAAGATCTCAGCTACAATAAAAGATAGTGGTTTAATTGGAGCAGACAACCCTGCTACACCACATTACTTACCTTATCAGACGTGACTCAAATCTGTTATGTCACAATGACAAGATGACAGCCATAGTCATCATGGAGAATCGCATCGTAGCAAAAGCCCAAAGCGTCAATTACACCACTCTTGATTCTTGGCTTCAGACGTTCTGTAGTTTACCTCATCCAATTTCATGACTATCAAAGACTAGGTCAGCCAGTTGTGTCCATTTTTCAGTCGGTGTAAAAAAAATTTCACGAGGAGGAAATGACATCCAAATGCTTAGCTGAGCATCGAGTTCCGGTGCATTGTGACATTAAGATAAACCCTTCTACTACTTCGACCAACGCAGATAGACAATCGGTACTGATGAAGACAATTTCAGCTTATGTTTTGCCAGACAAAGGATATATGACTATGCAGTTGAATTTTATTTGTGGCAAGGGTCTGACTGTGAAGATTACAACAATTAAACGTTTGTACTTGCACTCTTGGTGGAAATGTGATTTTCGACCATACGAAAACAACGTGTAAACAAGAGCGCCGCTTTAGCATCAGCATCATGGCGCACACTAAGGGTGCCTTAGAAATGAAGGGAGGAATGATTCACCTTTTCCCGTCCTCTTGTCACCACTGTTTGCAGTGAATAAGTTTTTCCAACTCTTGTATGTCCTTAAAAATTAGTGGCTACGTCCACTACTAATGGAGGCCTTTTCATTGTCTGCATCAATTGACCTGCCCATAAAATAAAGAGGAAATAGGACTAAGTATATCCTGAATCGTATTGGCCGTAAATGTTCCTCGCGAAAAAAGGGTAATTCTCCTTTTCTTCAGTATTTATTCATTTATCCTCATGATTGTTGATGCCCAATTTGTGAACTGGAAGCAGATCAATGTCGGATGTTCTTTGAGAATCCTATTTGGCTGATTTTAGAGTAAAGTTGGAATCCTCGCAAATGTTCGCATTACGAATTCCACATTCAATGATTCATAAGTGCCAGTACGTAAAGGTTTTGTGGGGGGGAAGTAGGATGTGTCAACTTGACACGGAGTGTCTTGTTCTGCCATGAACAAAGTATTCTACTTATATAGTTTGAGCAGCAGTAATTAAGCCCGAATAGTGCTATTTTGTTGGAAGCCTACTGGACATTCGAGATGTTTGGCTGGCTCATAAACTAACTACATGCGGGGAAGCTTTTTCAAAAGTATTGAGTCTTGTAGTAAACTTTAACACGTAGGACCGCTTCTGATCTCAACACCTCAAAGTTCAACCGGTTTTCCGCGTGAGCATTAAGAATTTTCTAAACTTGCGTCTTGGAATAAATCATGCACGATTGTAATGAAATAACCGTCCATTCCACCTATAATATGCTTGTAATAGTCGGCAAAAAAATATGATAAATTATGAGTCAAAAACATACTTTCTAAACACTGATACTTTTGTGTAATTGCCTGGATTTTAGCAGTTTAAGTGAAGCGGACGCGCATTAAATTAAGGCAAGATTATTCGACTGCAATACCTCAACTGCAAATATCTGCGGGGAGAAATTAATGCAAACGTCAAACAGTGAATACATAATTGTGACTTGTGGCTTTTGTGGTAAAGGATGTGGTTTAGCAGCTGTGGTCCACGTCATGGAAGACTTTCGAGGTTTGCTTCACATAATGGTTTCAGTGGTCTTGGTTGAAACTAGCCTTCTTGAAAAATGTGGAAGTGATAAACGAATAGTACTGTTCATATGAAATTAAGGTCATGGGTAAGTGAACTAGATTTTGGTGTTTGAGCTCTCGTTCTTATCAGCACAATCCTTCATTTTGCAAAATAACTTTTGTAAGACGGAAAGGGAGAGAACTTGAAGTAAAGTATTAAAGCTATGAAGGAATGGAGCAGAATGATTAGGAATCTGCTTTTTTTGAACTGTGGAGCAAAGCACTTTCTCAATTCTTAACTTCAGCTCCATAAATTTTAATAAAAGTCTACCATTGTAGGTACGTATTGTAGCGTTTGCCTAATGACTTTAGTGTTCTTTCATTGGATGGGGAATGGGTCATGCCATTGACTTCCAAAATTGCTCTGAATGCATGGAGTGAGAAGTCGGTGGAGCTACGACAGTGCATACACGGTAGAAGAGACGATCGATGGCAAGACTTCAAACTGTGTTGCCACCTTAACTTGGGCAGAAGGATTTGCATTATCCTGTCTACTGGCTCTACCCTCATTGCTGCCACACCGTCACATCCAAGTCAATATGATTTTCACTGAATTGGAGCGTGTGTACGATGCGTGGAGGAGGCGAGATCAAGTCCAGCGTCAGAAGTCAATCTTCAATACACGAATTCGTACAGCCATGAATGATATAAGCGCTAATTTGGAAGCACGAAGAGCCAAGCTCGAAGAATTATTCAGACGTGAGAAGGCAGAAAATATGGCTACTTGCTCCGCCAAACTTCATGCAGAAGAGACAGCACGAAAAGAAGCATTAATTGCCGAGGCAGCGGTGATCAAGGAACAAATCAAAACCAAAAATGCAGAAGTGGCTGAACGCGAATATCAACGACTAATTCATTTGTCAAGTGATGAATATCGGCTTTGTAGGCCAAAACTCTATAAGAGAGACATCTTAGTGGATCAGAAGGCCATAGATGAATTCAAGAAGCAGAAGAGAGCATATGAAGAGGCACGCGACAAGATTCTCACTCGGCAGAATGACGGAATTAGTTGCAAACTCATTGAAGCCGATTCAATTAGAATTGGGGATAAAAAAGCCATTGATAAGAAGCACCGAGACCTCCTGCTTCAACAGATAGCCGAACGAGAAGCAAAACGAAAGCTGGATGAGGAACTTAAGGCAAAAGATTCTAAGGAAATGGAGGAGACAATGAAAACAGAGGCAGAATTACAGAAGCAGGAGACTTTACAAAAGACTGAGGCAAAGCAGAGAATGAGTGCGGATCTTAAAAATCAGATTCAAGCAGTGAAAATGAGGCTTAAGAAGGAGGATGACGAAAATTCGGAATTTGACAAGGCGATACTTCAAAACTGGTCGATAAAGGAAGTACCAAACGCAGACAGAAGGGAACGCCTCAAAGGTCTCAACCGTGAGGCTAAACACTTTCTAGATTACCAAAAACAGGTTCGTGATCATCGTAAGTGCTTGGAGGCCGAAGCAGACAAGCACCGAGTTGAAGCTGCCGAACAGTATCATCGCATACAGCAGGAACGAGAAAAGGCTCGTCGGTGTTTCGTGCAACAGTTGAATAGGGAGACTTTTGAAGCGCACAAGGCAGCTTTGGATGAAAATGCCAAGCTTCGAACAGCATCCAAGGCGCAGAGACTGGAGGAGGAAAGACATAATTTACGTGAGGATAAACGCCAAGAAGAAGAAATGAGAAGGGCCTTAGAGACAGCTGCGGAAATAAAACGCAAGACCTTAAGAGCATCGCTTATGGAGCAATTGGAAGAACGGTGTTTGAGAAGGAAACAAGAAGCTGAAGAGGTTGAGAAGGAGAAGGCGGTTCAGCGACTGGCTGATGAGGCCTATCAAAGGAGGATGAAGAATTTTGTGTGTGATGAGAAGATGTGGGATGAGTACAGCCTCCATCCATGGCGAAGGATGGGATTGAAGAGGACTGCCTAAAGTGGAATGGATGGCAAAATCTAACAATGCCGTATACACTCCTTTGGAACCCTTATTCCCACCGTAATGCGTAATAGTCTCCAGAAAGTTGAGATTTATCATTACTCTATTCCCGTTCATAAATACTTCATTTTTAGAACATTTTTAGAGGAATATTTTAAGCTTTAAAATTGCTAAACGGAATTTACATTTGTCCAATGGGGAGAGGATGCGCTCTTGTAAATAGGGAGGCCTTGTTTAGGAAGGACTAAAATTAAAATGATAAATTTTCCTAGCATGAGTCATGGAAAGCGGAAAATTGGCAAGGAAATTAACAATGCGTTTGAAAATGGGATAGGAAAGTTCATAGACGCTAACGGAAAAACTGTGGTAGAAAAAGGAAATAAGTTTGTGTCAAAGGTCGCTACTGAATGCCTGTATGGCAAGTGGAAAGATAGAGGTGGGGCGCTAGCTTGGCTCGAAGGTCAGCCATTCACCATCAATCATGCATGAAGTCGAACGAACAAAGTGTTTCAGGTCTGAAGGAGGTTTTTAAAATGCAATCAACGCTGCATCCAAAGTTCAAGGAAGGAGGAAGTGGGAAAGAGTAGCTGAAGAGACTGCTTTCATGTGCTGATGGACGCATGAAGGAACGACAGCTCAATGTCAGTACCATGAGATAGTTAAAGTTTGTTCTCAATAGCATTCATTAGACCAGCAGACGGCACTGCATCGGGTGGGTTGGTATCTGTCTTATGTTCTCCAAACAGGACGACGATCGTTCCTACAGCCCCAAAATCACTTATAAGGCAATTTTACGGACATCTCATGCGCAATGCAGTTCCAATGCTCGGTCTACAACAGAAGCTATATTCAAAAATACTTTCCCAAAAGTTGTACTTGGACGACCATATCTTCCTTAAATGCTGGAAGAACATCATGTAATGGTTTGAAAATAGACTGATTGTACAAAAATCGTATTGATTGGTCCCTTATTTTTACTATGATTGCTGGAGTCCTAGCGTTCTAAAATTGTACTCACTTTGACATTACCTTAAAACGGTGGCTTAGCCCAACAGAGTTGGCGCAGGTCGTACGATGGTGGGATTCTTTCAACTTCACACATAAGTTCCTCTTTTTCAAATGTGGCTTTGATAACGATCATCAGAATGCACAAGTGAGTTTCCACAAGCGACAAGTGGTTCATGAGAACTATAATTTGCTACTGGAGAGGAGTTTGTTTGGGTAAGTATTTTCGTCAATAGCTGTAGCGCCCCAAGACCTCCTATCGGGTAGAAGAAGGCATCACATTGGGCAGAATACATGAATTCAAGAGAAAAAGAGGGGAGAGTGCCTTGGCGTGCTCCATGTCCAGCATCCGCGCACAATGAAAGAGCGAATACCAAAGTAACCGTCAGATACTAAGTAGTCATATGAACAAAGTATTACATTGCACTTGGTAGGTCGTAAACGAAAAACTTAAATGCGGTAGTTGAGCGCTTGAACCAACAGTATGGAGAGATGCTGGTGTGTTGATATTGCAATCTTTGGGTTTTTTAACAGTTGCTTCAGATAATGTGGTTTTGATGCAGAACTGTGGTGTTGGTTTCTTTATACGTGAAAAGTTAAATGAATTATGCAGAAATGTTGATGCACAGCTATTCAGCAGGGTGTATGAAGTCCGACCCTCACGGCCAAAGCAAAAGTTCGGTTTGAGACGTTTTTATAGACAACGCCAGTTCAGGATATCTACTTACGAAATTGCCAAACCATAGCTTGCTTGCTGTATTACAACTACCTTGCCTCTGTTGATAATTGTTATTATCAATTTTAAGTCTTTCAGCCAATGCATGTGAAATGATCAAGTCAGCAGTGCGTCTCCAAAAAAGGGAAAGTAGACAAGACAGGACAATTTATTTGGTCAGCATATAAAATCCCAACCACAAATCGCCTATTACAACACCTAATATTGGTTCTGTGAGATAACATTGCAAAGTACCTGTAGCGTCCCGAGATTTCCAGAGGATGGAATAAGCCAGTAAGTGAAGCTGGATACACGTATTCCAAAGAGGATGATGTAGCGTCCCGAGGCTTCCCATAGGATGGAAGAAGGCATAAGTGAGGTTTAATGCGTGTATTCCGAAGACGACAGGACTAATGGAGCCTGAGCGTGGTCCGAAGGCCAGCCCACGAGCACAAAGATCGGACAAATATTAAAGTGAACGCTGAACGTCAGGTAGTCACATAAACAGGTCATTACAATACCTATATATTTGACGATGGTCTATATTTGTTTATATAAGTCGACTAAAATGAGCGGCTGCTGATTAAGGTGTCCTTTGTACTTTGATGCACAGCACACCATCTACGTCGTCACAGCATCCAGTCAGACGTTTCGAACGTCAAGAGCATTAGAAAGTCTGGCTTCAGGAATTTCATAGAAGAAGGATATCGGTGGTAGCGAAGGGCGACCTAATACCTCACGAATGGTAATCCCGATTTCTGGTATTGATTTGTGTGGCATGTATGACAGCGATGTTCGACCCCATTTGGCAATAATAAGAAACTTTCTGTAGTGTCCCGAGACTTCCCATAGAGTGGAAGAAGGTTGTTAGTGAGGCTGGATACACGTATTCCGAAGAATACAGAGCAAATGGGCTTGAGCATGACTCGAAAGCCAGCCCACAAGTGGTGGTGGTTCTAAACTGACAACCTGACACTCCAAGAAAGGAAGCACAACTGAAGCCTATCTTTGATATATTCATTATTGTAGTTTGCAGCAGAATAGCTGAAGGTACAAGCTATATCGAAGGAAAAAACTCGAGTGCAGATTCATCTGCAAATAAAACTTAGGTGTCGTTCTTCAGCGCTTTGTATACAGCTCTTTGGAAATGCTCTCAACCCTTACCCGCAAAAGGATTTTAAACGGACAATACTTATAGCAGATAGGTAGCATGATGCTAAGGCGGTTGTTTTATTCTCATTTTTGCATATAGAAACCTGCAACTATCTTGCCATTGTGCATGCAATACTTTGTTTATACGACTACCTGGCGTTTTTGTCTGGCTCTTATACGTGTGGATTGGCCTTGGTCCCTGCTCAGTTCCATTTGCACTGTTACCTCCGGAATACATGTACTCAGCCTCCTTTGCTGTTTTATGACGCTACAGTACACGGTTAAAACGAATTGGCGTATTATTCGTCTGTCCAGCAATGACAAATTCCATGACTTTCAGATCGCTTCGTCCCGTGCTAACACCTTATGTAGAAATACTACTTAAAATACCATTCCGTTTGCCATAAAATTATATTTAATAAAATACTGGCATAGCTTAAATCCTTAAGGTTTTGATGCTATATTTGTATGGAAGGTATATGTTAATACTAAATATTCTCTGTTTTACTGCATAGAATGCATAAGAAATGACTAGTGAGAGTCAAGGTCGTGTGCTCACTGAAATGACCAAGAAATTTGCGTGTTTTATAATCTCAGTTATTCTCCTCGCTTTCTTACTACATATCGTCATTTACTTTGCTGATTTCCGTCAATCGTCTCAGATCCAAGCCCTTAAATTTCCGTCCCGTAATGAAACAAATTTATTCTTCCCAGACAATTCTACGGACCGGCTATTTTGGTTCGTACAGGTAGGAAACCTAACATTCGTACCTCGAGTACCCAGTTGTCTGATCTCCATTTGAGCCAGTTTCACGACAGAGGCAGAACCCATGACTTTTCTCGTCTATGTTCTGCTCATTTTCCTGTTATCGCCCCAGATATTGTTATTGTTTCAGGTAATTCATCGGCATTAACTGCTATTTTAGGTGATATAACTGATGCTAAGCTTCCAAATATGCGGGGTTCACGACAATTTGAAGTGGAATGGGCGGCGTACGATAGGATCGTGAGGAGGTTTTGTGCATCTCGACGAACCATATGGTTGGATATGCGCGGAAACCATGGTTTGTTACCCTTCGTAAATGACGTGCCTCAGATAACTTCAATGTCCCTTCCGTTTCCCATCCGGAAAATTATTTTCGGTACGGTCTTTCTACACTTGTTTCTCACAAATACTTGATTCCTTTCCTTAATGATTATCTTCCAACGCAAATGCTAATTTTGTGTCTTTTTATTGCTGCCATCGGACTTTTCTGCCAACAGTAGTAGCTTTCATTGACATCGTTTATGTCTAATGTATGTGCTTTCTCTTTTTCGATGTAGTTCTGTCTTCTTTTGTTTACATTCTTCCCACTTCTTCATAACCTTTGGATCTATCCCACTTATTATCTTCTCAGTCAGTACTCTGCAGACGGGCTAAATTTCACTCAATCCTACATGATTACTCATCGCAAACCGTTTGGTACGTATTCTTTTATCGCGTTGGATGCCTGCCCATCTCCCGGAATCAAGCGTCCACTTAATTTCTTTGGCCTTATAACTCCGGCAAGTGACGTGAGACGTTATTGGCTATTTATCATTTTGATTCTCCTGGAAAGTGCAATCAAAACGCAAGGCGTAAAGAAACGTTTTATAGCTTACCCAAATAGTCTTTGTTCTCAGCTATTGAAATTAATTCCTCACAATAACTTTGGCTAACATATTTTTTTCTGTTTTCCTCTTATAGTATTCTCGTTTTAAACCATATAAGGGTATTGATTTCATTTGTGGTTTTGTCCTCCTTCGCAGGAATTGGCAAGATCTCTCCAGTCTTTCTCCACTAGGACACATGGTAGTAACCAAACGTTCTGGTTTGGCCACTACCCCACCTCCACAATCATTTCGTCCGAATTTGATTTACGAGGTCTAATTGGGTATGCATATCTCAAGCATGATTTTACATTGATGGCCTTTTTGAAAACTAGTTTTCATGTGGTAACACTTGATTTGAGTAGAGGTTGGTTTCGGTTGTTTTGGTTGAAGTTTGGACTTTACGAGCATTTCGGTGCAGGGTAGGAAGTGCCTTCCTTTGATCTAATCATTAAGTTTATTAATGTTCAAGGGGGAAAGTGCTGTAGCATCCCGAGACTTCCATTAGGGTAGAAGAAGGCAGTAAGTGAGGCTGGATGCATGTATATCGAAGAGAACAGAGCCCACGAGTACAAGGGCTAGACAAATCCTTAAGTGACCGTCGAACGTCGGCTAGTCTCATCAACAAAGCATTGCAAGGGCCTCTAGAAAAGTATCAGTAGTCAATTTTTACCAGTAATCCTTTTGTATATCGCCTTGATGAAGTTATGAAATGAGGAAGTTCTTTTTAGATTTCGGTTGCATATACGTTATATAGAGTGATATATCTCAAATTTTATCCCTCATCTGTCCATCGAAGTGGGCATTTTTTGTGAACTAAATCGGGCAGATTGAATCTCATCTCTTTGTGCGGATGGGTGATTGCTAAATTTTTCCTAACGTAAGTTTTTCGGATTGTGCTCGAATGATTAGAGCTCCTAAATTCGTATTCCACTCGTCTTCTTTAGTTGCGCTTAGTCGGGGCACTTAGCTTTGGATCGTGGCTTTTTGTATAGCCACAGTGAATTTTTTTGAAGCTTTGACAATAAATTGTCCTGTACGTTGTGGTAGCGGAACCTCATGTACTCCCTTTTGTTCATTTTGCATAAAATTAGCGACTTTCGTTTTGTTGGTTTCAAATAGCTACGAATTGTACTGCCAGCACTCACGTTACCCATGGCTTCCTGTATCGTGGCTTAGCCGTATAGGATATTTCGTTGCCGGGAGCAGTATAGGGATCATTCAAATAAAACGCCATTTTTTCCCCTTTACAGCATAGGTTGAATACTGTCCTATCGAATCCAAGTGGTGTACCACTTCTTCGCAGCCTTCCCCATTTCAGCATAGTAATTATTATTGATGAAGCTTTGAACCGAATTCTATATATTCGAGGGCTTGAAATGATTCATAAGCCATGTTTTGTTTGATACTCTATGACTTTATTTATCGGTCTACTGGTGGGCTCTACATGAAATCTTTGCCAATTTTGTGGTTATTCTTACTTTTAGCAAGACAGCGTACTGTTATATGTGTGGTCACTTGCATTCTCTGATGAATGTAGTGCCAAAGATGTACACTGTACAACCACAAGGCTTCTTGGAGCTGGAACTGGCAGACTGGCGTGATGGCCGATTGTAAGTTGATGTTTACCTTTATTATGACGCCTCATTTTAGCTAAATCCCTAAGGGATCTCTGATGTCGCCTTTTCTTGCCCGCACGAGCCCCTGATAACTCTCCAGCATCTACACATAGCGGCTGCGGCGAGTTCTGTTTGGGGTGCTTTGGAACTCTGACTCACCTAATTAGGCCTTTTCTGCATAATCAAGCAAACGTCTTTTTTGGGCTTCAGAGAAATGGGAGGTTTGGATGATCTCCCACTCCTTAAGCGCTTTTTTTAATGCGTATCCTTCTAATTATGAAATTGGATTCCGAGTTCAAAGAAAACTTTTCGAACTTCATGAGGTGTTAGTAAGCGCTTTGTTGCGATCTAGCTTAAAGTAATGTCACGTCAAATTTTTGTTTCCATTGTTGGAAGTTGCAATCCTTGACGGTTCAGTTTTGGGAATGGTGTAATTTTGCAATCTCTAAGCTTAGTGTGTTTTCTTCCTTGCACATCAGCTTTCGTATTGTCGCAGTGGACAACGATTTGGTGTCGTTTGTGGATGTCCAAGCCCACAGCAACGAGGCAGAGGATTGGCCTATCATACTGATTACTAACCCTAAGGATGCGGCCCTTCTCTTGCCAAACAAGGAGCCCACAAATCGCATTCTCCAGTCCACTCACATACGGTTGGTTTGTCTTCTTCCTTGAGTCCACTCGCGAAATGCTTCCGACTGTCAAATAAGGGATCAATGTCAAGCAGCACTCCTCTTTAAACCTAGTTTTACTTCAGAAACGTCATACTTTTAGTGAAACTTTTCCATGGATGTTACATGAATTAAAATTTCTAGTAAGACAAGTCGTAAGTCGTGCCATGTCTGAGTTCTTGCGTTAGAGTAATAAAGTAATAAGAACTTTGACGCGCTCAAATGTTGACAAGCGTTCTGATGGCGCCAGGTTGGTTTACAACCCACCTCATCATCTTGAGCCAGGGGCTAACTGGAGCAATCGATCTTTCAGGCCACTGTGAAACAAAATCTCGTCCAATTGTACAACTCAAAATCGATTGTCCATTAATCGATTTGCATGGGTCACCTTCCATTAAATTTCACCGAAATTTTCCACCAAATGTGGAGTTTTGTAAACTTACTACGTGAATCGTCAATGCTTCTGCCAGCTGATGGGATGCTGGGAAAAAATTTTTGGATGAAATTCATTAATGTGTTTAGTTTAGCAAATGATGCATCTCTTGTACGAACTGTGAAGCACATTACAGCTGGTTTGAGTACGTCCCATTCACCTTCCAGTCGGTTACTGTTTGAAAAGTCAATTTAACGGGATTACCAATGTATTTGATGTCAATTATCCTTTCGGTACTAATTTGTCAAATTTCGGTCAAGATTTCTGGTGGAATTTTCGTGTTTATTGACCAAATTTTAACCCTTTCAAAATTGTAGAATTCTTGCCTGGTCAAAATACCCGATTACTCGAGTCTCTGTGACGATTGACGGGGAACACTTAGGCGACGCAAAGCCGGCTGCTCTTCACGAGGGCAGTGGAGCCACTAATTCACCCCTCTTTGTCCTTCCATGGAATCCGGCAGCGCTTGTGAAAAGTGGTCCTCCTGCTGGAACAAGCGCACACTCCTTGAGGGTGGTTTGTCAAGTAAGCAATAATTATGAAATTGTTTAAGGTACACATGTCTGAAAATAGCTTTGATTTTAGCGTAAATAGGAGGTTTCAAGGAAGCTTATGTGACATTGACAAGGCTCAGACTACTAATGGGTACCGCAAATGCTGATGTGTATTATCATATTTGCGCTTAAAACAAACAGAATGTTAGGAATTTCAATTCTTCTTTCAACATCGGCCTCAGAAATCTCAGCAGTTAGTCTTCTGTTTCGATTTTAAGATGGTAATCAGGTGTATTGGAACCATTCATACGACAGAATTCAAAGTTGGAGTCACGCTTCTTCCATTTAGCTGGATCTATGTTTTCAGTCCTGATTGTATCGTTTAATTAAATCCATGATTTAAAGTGACATCTCAAAGCTATCGCTTTTTTATCTCTCCTTTACTCCTCACTTGTGATTCAGTCTTAGGCAATCTACCAGCCTTAGTGTCCCCAGCCTCCTTCATGGGAGAAGGGAGAGCTCATTTAGAATTGGATGTGGGATACTTTTATGTTTGTTCTAGAAGGATTTGTTTGAAATGTACCCAGCAATCGTTCAAGACTCATTCGTTCCACTTAATTCCCAACTTTAAATGCACAAACTTGGTGTTTGGTTAAATTTGTGGTTACATCACCAATAACTGACTCCAATATGGAAGGTTGTACCAAGTCATCCATCCAGCAGTGTTGAAATTATCACTACTGCGATGACGTCGAAAGGTTGAATGTAGACTAATTTTCAACACGCTGTAGGGTCACAGAACTACTAGCTTAAGTGACATAAGCCAGATCCGTGTTGTCAGTATGCAAGCTGAATAGCGCAAAACTAAAGCCGCTGCAGTCAGTGTTTACAATTGGAGTTATTAATAAATACGATAAATTGTGGTCTCCACTTCTCACCTTCTATTCCTTTAGGACGCCCACAACAATGTCCGTACGGTACAACAGTCCTTCACATTGGATGGCACCACGCGATGGAATTTCGGAGGTTTTCAGAGCTTCATTCTCCTGGTTAATCAGACCTCCAACGTATGTCGAGCAATCGCTACTTTTTTACATGTCACTTGAAAACCACAGTGTGGGAGTGAGTTTGGAGACGTTAATGAGCTTATCCTGTAGGCGCATTGGCTTTTATATTGTGATTTTTATTCTGTCGCATCTCATTTGACAAGATTTGCGCACACTTTTATTAAAATTCTCTTACTTACACATGCTGTTGGATTTGGTTTACTCGTTTTAAAATCGAACGCTGTTAGTCTGTTGTAAACTAACGCAAAGGGATTCTTAACTTTATCAACTTCGCATCCAATGTGTTTAAATAACGCACGTGTTTCTAAATTGCCTGCCATCTTCTAGGGCATTTCTTTTAACCTACTGCAAACCCTGTGGTAGATTCAATTTTCCAGAACGAAATGCCCCCAACCTACGACAATAAAGCGTAGTTTATGTGTGAGATTGAGAGTCAGTTCCTCTCTACTGAGACAATTTCTGTGAAACGTTTTTTTGCTTTTGCTGAGGTTTCTGCAGGTTATGGTGGGACAAGAGTAGGACAGGGTATACCATTTATCGACGATTATTCTACGTTGAATAGCAAATTTGTTGCATAACATCAAAGAAGTGAATACAAAAGATTTCCTCTCTTGTCTGCATAAAACTGTTTTATTTCAATGAAACAGTAAAAGTCACTGTAATACTGCCGAGGAGGGAGTTTCCTATTCCCTGTTCTGTTCTGTTGCACGATTCCCTTTAACTTATGCCCCACACTTTTTGGTGGCATCTTACCTGAGTTAATCTGATCCTTTGTGAATTGTGCTTCTCAGTTAGTCGAACGTGTTCTTGGTTGTTGTTGCCCTAGGGATCACAGACAGATCCGCTTTGAGGTGGCCTATGGGCAGTCCATGAGCCTAGATTCGCGGTAGAGATGGCAAGGTAGTAGAACGTGCGATTACCAATGCAGGTTGTGGACGTCTGTGCATTTTATACTCATTCCTAAGGCTGTGTTCTATCAGTGCGGTGCTCTCCATTCATTCTTTCTACAATCCGTCTTCTATTTTTAACCCGAATAGTTTCATTGTTGCAATCTGGTTTACCGTGTTTTTGTAATCCAGGTTGTTCATGTGTTTTATGCCTGGAGGCTTTTCGAGACTCCAACCACGTAAGCTTGATTTTGTTTGCAGAACAGACGCCTTGATGAGCAATGTCAATGGGTAATTGCAGAGGTACGGCAAATGAGCACCAGCTCAACTGCCTACCTTTTGACTACCACAAACACGTGGGTCGGTGATGTTACCTACTTGTACTTACAGAACCTGATTAACCTTGACTTCCGGGTGATCGTTAGTGCACTTACAGTGCATCTCTTTTTGGTTTGAGCCAATCAAGAGAGGACGATTGCGAACACATCCACTCAAAGGCTTGCATCGTGGTAGTAGAATGGAACCTTGGTATTAGGATTGAGCGGGCATCCTCGCCAGTGGATTTACAAACTTTTTGAATTGGACTCGTAGGAGGTACATTCTCGCGTCAGTCTCATTCCCTGATTCCTTTGAGCTTTATTGCAAACGATCGTCACCGCTCGGCTGCTATACTTAAATATGCAGCAGGGTTAGCATAAAAGGATGCAAAAAACGAAGGCATGAGTGTCTGTAGTGTTTGTCACGAGTTCTAGTGAAGTGGAAGTTACAAGGCCGTGCATCGATTGATAAGGATGGCAGGTTGTGCTGGTGTTTTCTTCTGAAACCTTCTGTTGGTATCATTTAGTAGATTTATAGGAACTTTTTGCTCACCTTAAAGTGAGCGGCAAATCTTGCGCGTAAAGGGTGCGTTTAAAGAATTCGTCTTCCTGCCCTTACTCTTCTACTCAATTATTCAATTGTATTTCGTGGTCTGATTGCTTAGTTTTTGAGACGGATATCCTATAGAAAGTGCAAATATGAGTTCTTTTTTTGAAGAGGATGTCCTCGAAAACTCTAGTTAAATAGTGGATCCTGATTCATCTTCCTTGGAATTCCTTCTCGAGTTTTGTCTTGTTTCCAGAGATGGGGCCACGTCTTAGGGCCTCTTAGCATGCCAAATTTTGAAGGTGGGCACAAAATCTTGATGATTTAGAACTTCCAAAGTCAATGCTGTATTAGTGAAAAATGTTGCCTACCTTCAAACTTCATTTTTAATGCAGAACACATGGAGTAGCCTCCTATGCGCCTTTTATTGGCATTATCTCATTCGAAGATCTCCAACGGCCGCTATTTCCACCGTCCATTTTTAGCTCAGAGTTGCCTTCTACTTGATTTGGTCTTTCCCCTTCTTCGCTCTGCTTATCGCTCGATTGTTCGGCAGAACTCCATTCTGTGAGTTCTCTTAAATCACCTTTCCTAGTTTTCTTCTCAAATGGTAGGTTGATGTATGCCATCATTGCTCAACTGACTGATTGAATAGCCTCCTTTTCTCATTGTATTACCAAGATGGTCGTGTTTGTGAGGACTTCTGCCAGCTGAAGGGCCTTTGTGAGGTCGCGAATTGTAAAGTCGCCTTCGTCGGACTTACCTTCTACCTGGTCTACATCCTCTTTGGTAAGACAGTGTTTAATCAGTACGTTGCATTTTGGTTCACATTTCTCAGAAATTATATTTCTGAAATGGGTCAAACTTTCCACGGGTCGATGAGGTCGAGATTGCGGACTTGTGGTTTGTTCTTCACCTTCAAGGTCGACGCTTTGACAATGTCAGAAGTTTGATGTATTCTCCCTGAGAAGTTTCTGGAGGCAAATGATGCAGTCGATTTAGGACAAAAGCCCCAGTTTTTCTTATAATAATGACTTCATTCATCAATTTCCGACTGAGATAAGGCTAGAGGCGATGTTGCTTATCGTCTTTTTAATCATTGAGTTCAGGTAATTGCTAACGGTTGCTTTCGTTCTCACAATGCAGGTTCTCGCTTCAATTTTTGCTCAAAATTTGCGTCACTCATTCGACAAATGTCTTCTCTCATATTGTTGTTTTTGACATTAGCTTAAGTATTTTACGAAAAATTTTCCTCAGTAAATAACTTGCTAGTATTCCCTACCATCTGCATTCCCTTTTTTCGTGACTTGCTATTTGGCGTTGCCAGCGAATGACTGTAGTTGGCATACTTCTTAGCTGAATGTCACAACATAAGTCATTTTATCAAATTTTGAGATTTTATTGCAATGCCTATGCCTGGACAGCATAAATACGATCTCTTGGCAGAAATGGAGGCACCCTTCAATCAAAGATCACGGGAAGGCTTATTTTATTCTTGACCTACGAAATTCTTGCTTGAGCGCAAATCTGAATGCTATTTAAGGATGCTGGACCGCTTTTGAGATGCCTGCATGCCCTAATTATTCGGTACACCTGTTTACAACACGAGTGCTACTTTAATCTCCTCAGTAGGGACGTCATAACTCGCCAATATGCTGTACTGGGTTGGCGTGATGGCAGAATCGAAACTGAAGTTTTAGGCTGTAATTCGAATCAGTGGTGAAATGATGATGACAAGCCTCTTTGTATGTTTACCGAATTGTATCCTCGGATTTTTCGAGCCTCGTGCATTTGAACTAATTGATTGTTCGTGAGTTTTGTCAAATTCACTCATGCTGCCACATGGACATGGTGATCACATTTTTGAAGCTATGATTTCTGTCACATTTTTACATCAAGCACGTCGTTATCCTCTGTTTTAACTACTCAATCTGCCCTTAAACAATTCCTAACTAGATCAATAACTTAGTGGAATTAATGTAGACATGCGTTTGATCTTTGTCTAGCTAGGCTTTTTTGCTTAATAGGATCTAATTTATGCCTCTCAAGGATGACATAACAACTAAAGGTTCTGGCGGTCTGGAAGTTCTGGTTTCCCGTCAATAGACCTAAAAACAGTTTGACCTACTTAGCCACTGACTGGACAGGCCCTATGAAAATCTTATTTGCCTTGATTTCATCATTGCAGAAGCTATTGAGCGTCTATCCCTTTAGGTCCAATCTTTATGGGTTACCTACTAGATGACAGCTTCGGCTATGTCTTCACATTCGGCGTCTTCGTTCATAACACCTTCATTCCGGAGAGCACAACCTACATGGTTGAAATTATTCAGGTAGCCTGACTCCATTTTTGGACTTATCTCAAATTCTAACTCTCATTTCTCTTCCTTTACCAGCAACTTATCTTCACCTACCCTCTCCTGCTGCTCCTCACCCACCGTATGCGTGCATCTCGTAAATTATACTGCCTGGGCTACTTTTTTCGCTACTGTCCGTCACGGAAGCAATGCGACCTGCTTTTGATGTTTCTCCTCACTACACTCCAAGTGACTTTTGTAGTGCTTGTAGTCCTCTTGCCATACGGTTGGGTGGCGTTTTGGCTTTCACCGGGTCGACTATGGCTTCTCGGTTTGGCGTGGTCACTCTTTATTTACACGGGTAATCATGGCCACCATGTGGGAGTTCCAAGCACACGGACTTCTTTGGTTGTCGATGGCTCCAATGACTAAGTAGACCTCTCCCTTCTTCCCGTCCTACTCTGCTCCACTGGTTTCAAAATGTGTTCGTGCTCTTTGCAAGTTGATCTGATAAATCACCACTTCACACACTTTTTTCTACTCCGTTCTGTACAGTGTTCAAAGAGTCGATTGTCATTTGGCGAAGGGTCCTTCGGATGGATCTACATTTCTGCATACTTGGTGAATTATTTGCTTGAGCATCTAAACCGAGTATCTCAGTTCAATGTAGAATGGTTGAGTAAGGCTATTATCGGAGACCTTCTGGGTGAATTTGGACGCTGGTCAGGTGCTAGCAGAGTAAGCTAGCATAAGGTTTGCACGGAGTCGCGACTTGGCACTACAGTGGCATTTTGTGGCGCTCTTTCTGTCCACGAAGCTCTGTAACGGTCGTATCAGATTCAGTTCTTATCATTGGGCTCAATAATAATGGCTTATTCACTGGAAAAGGCTTGATCCAAGGGTCAAAGGTGCTTGAAATCTGGTCTGGTTTCCTCCCTGTAGGGGGGTGAATTACAGGACCTCTTAGGTAGGCATCCGCAAAATAGCACATACATTCGATTAGGAACTTACATCACTTATTATTGAAAGAAGAAACGAAGGTGCAAATTAATACTTGCACTGGATAACATAGTTAAATCACAAGATGAACACAAGTAGACACAGCACCTTCGTTATTTGCAACAAATTTCAATAATGATCTAAAAAATGATGAATATCAACAATAATGTGTCTATGATCATAACATTTCCAGCGATACAAATAATCTGCTCTTAAGAAACCTTACAGACATGAATTTATAATCGTTTTCCCACATTATACACCCACAAACTTTTTTTAATTCTTAACACTTTAAGTCTTTGCTTGTATAGTATTTAGTTGATTTTTCACTGATATTTTTTGTATTTGTAAAAATTAAATAGATAGCTTTTTAGGCAGCATAGATAAATGTGCCAATTAACGAAGAGCCCCAAGGTCTTCCAGAGTAGCCCTGTCTGGGCAGCGTTATTCTGGATATATGCCGGGGGCGCCAATGTCGTCCGGGTGGAATCCGTTAGATTGGCTAGCGCATTATCTTACGACAAAGCTTTATGATGATTTGTCATCCACACGTTTCTTCCTGACCATATGCTTTGGTATTTGCTCGTTACTTGTTCCTTACCACGTTCAGGATATCCCATTTCTGCATTCTATCTTTTATTCATTAGCAGAAGATCGCCGCGTGTGGCGCATATTTATTTTCTCCTTACCGGGTCGCTATTACTGTGCTGGAACTATGGTGAGTCTCTTTATTGATGTTATTTATGGTCTAGGTAGCGGAATCATTCACCTGCTTATCGGAATTTTATCAACACTTGCTACCTTGCATATATTTGGTCCCACTGACCTTGCAGTTGCGCTAACCTTTGTCTTCAACATGGTATCTGGAACCGAGTTTGCTTATTAGTTGTAGACATACTTGCTTGTGGGTTATTATTGCATGAATTATGGAACGTATGACATAAATTGGACAATGTCCTATTGCATCCTCTGTTTGCGGCTCATCGGATTATCCTGGGACTATCGCGACGGCAGTCTTCCTGTTGAACGTCTTTCTGCGTACCAAAAAAGTGCGGCATTCAAGGAACTCCCGAACACCCTGGAGATGATCTCTTTCTGCTTTATGCCGACTGCGTGCTTTGCGGGACCACAAGTATCTTTGTTTTTTTGTTCTCTGCTCTTTTGCTTGGAGTAAAGAGGTGTGACTTTATACCTTGCGGCTTTCTTTGCATCCTTATTTGATAAACAAGACAATATTGGGGTGGTCTAGTTAACTTCTTGTATTATGACTTCCTATTTTTTCTTTTTAGTAGTGCCATAATTTAAAATTAAGCTAACCTGGGGGCGCCTTTTACATATCATTTATACCTTATTTATTTTTACAGTTCACTTGGCGTCATTATCATTCTTTCATCAACCAAACACTTCGCCCGCAGATCGTTTTGAAGTACCGTACCCCTATGCAAAAGTATCTTCTGAATCCAAAGTAAGCTAGTATACTCTCTTAGATATTGCTGTTTGCATGTATTTTTCTTACGTCTCCAACTTTTTTGAAGATTACATCGGACGCTGAGTCGATTATCCGCCGGGATTGCTTGCTTGGCGTTCTACGTGCTTTCTCTTTCTTACTGTCCGATGGAATATATGCTCACGCAGGAATTTCTTTCGGTGAGTTATCATTCTCTTTGGCTGTTTCAGTGCTGTTGACACGAGATATTCTTTCATTTTACTCTGACCTGTAGTTCGTTGCACCACTCCTACCTTTGGGACAATTTTATTCCTCCTGCCTGTTTAAATTTTCGAATCACCCAGAGAACTCCAAACTACTCACGATTTTGATGTCTATCTCCTGTCCTTTGCAAATATGGTTCATAACCTTGAATCAAATCACTTAAGCATATAACTAGCTGTTTTTGTATGCAAAGCTGTGTTCATTCGCTCTTAAGTGTTACCAAACAATATGGTTCTCACCTGCTACTAAAGCTAGTAATTGTCTATTTGCTAATCCATTCACTTGGACACAATAAACCTCCCTGATGTTTCACTTTTGTTGCCTTACTCATTAATGTGTTTTTTACTGCGTTTCGTTCAGAAGCGTTCCTTCTTCTATCGCGTTGGCTACATGTGTTTCTACTCAAATTTCCTTATCATGCGCTACCTCGCAATTTGGCTCATTGGAGTAAGTTCATCCCCTCCCCAATGTGTTCTGCCTGTTTTTACTGTTTTTTTTATTAATTCAAAGTAGTCCATTCTGGACTCATCGGACTGTTCCAGACTTCACTTTTCGCTATTGTCTGATACCTTAAATTTTCTGCGGCTTCATTAACTGCTTCCGTCAAGAAATTTAGCTTGTACCGCCTATAAATTTTTCATTGAGCGCGTTTAACTATTTGTCGAATCGTTTTGTTTTTGGTTTCGTCTTGGGATGTAGTCAAGTGTTCATTCTTCTTCTATTCAGGAGGGAGCCTGCGTCTTCCTGGGTCTCGGTTGCACCGGGCGCATTCGCGTGGACTACTACGGCGGTTCAAGGGGCAGTGACAGCAACAAGAATGAAACCCAAGATGTCGCAACGATGGGGCCATTGTCAGACGGAGTCGGTGAATCGAGGTTCCGCAAGGCGGCGGTGCTCAGTAGCAGTTCCACTGGGGGTTTCCGTCGCTTCGAGGAGTTTGAGGACCCCGAGGAGGTTGAGGCAGCAGTTCGTGAGGGGCGAGCCACCGTGACGGAGGCACAGCACACACGATGCGCCAATATTTCTATCGTGCGCTTCGAGTCTGCCACAAACACTGACCTTCTCGTCTCTTCCTTTAACATTAATACCAATAAGTGGATGCTTGAGTAGGTCGATCCGTTCTCTCTTCTCCCTTTAAACTATTTTTTTACGTCTGAGGTCTATTTAGCCGCCTGTCCTCTAGGTAGTTTCGTCACTAATTTTCTCTGCGTTGCATCGGGATTTTTTCCGTAGGGCAAAAGACTTCGAAATTCGCGCAAGATTTGAATATTGCGTCATTGGTGTGGCAAAGGAATTATTGTAAAATTAAATTCCATATGGTAACTGACAGCTTGTGGTCATTAAAATAACACATTATGTGAAAGAGCAACGTGTTTCTGTTGTTGAGTGATATTTTACAGATAATGAATGTTTGCTGACTCGAGTTTATGATTATCGTTTGAAATGTGGCAATGGTTATGTACCTTCAGCATTTCCTGGTAAATTAATTACACTGTTTGGGCGGACTGGATAAACCAGCAGTCGTTCATTAACACGTCATTCAAAATAAAACGTCGAAGTTGTTCGAGAGAGTTTTTCTTAGGCTTTAGAGACTTAATTTTTCATCGTGGTAAGGAATTAGGCTTTACTAGGACCTCTCTCGGACGTATTTTCGCCAGAATTGCTTTCAATTTTCATAAATACAGAGTACAAGTGATTCAAGAGCTGAGGTCTATTACCCTCGTATAGGAAATGAGGTTCGTTGAGTGTATTGCATAACAACAAGTAGATGCTGATTTCTTGAATGAAATCACAGCCAACTACTGTGTTGTCCACGATGCACCACTGCTAGGTGAGAATTGGTAGCTAAATGCATTTGTGGGCTATTTTTCGAAAATTATTGCTAGTCGGACTCCAACAGTTGATGGCATTCACCATAGGGACATAAAAGGTCAATTTGGTTGTGCATAAACTGTAAGACACGAATGTGGACGATATGCGGTTTTAGTGAGGCGGTACAATTTGCTATGCGATTTGAGAAACGCTCCAATTGTGGCGTGGACTACTTCCAGATCGTAGTTGCTCCAGTCATTCTGTTTAGCTCCGCCAGACTTTTCTTTTTAAATTAAGGGGTTTTTAAGCCTAAGGCTTGAGCTAACAAGCATGTAGCGGCTTGAATTTTAAAGAGTGGGAAATCTTATTCATGTCAGTGTCCCAAAGTCAAAGTAACTTTTAATGGAAGAGTGTGCATCAGTAAAGTCGTAGAAGTCATTTCCTCGCTTTTCATGCCTAACCTTATGTTCTACGTCTACATATCACCAAAAATTCGCAATTTCTAATCATGAACGTGTGTTTTTGACTAAAATAACATTTTGGGTGACTTTTGGGGGCACCATTTACTTGACTCCCCAATAGTAGTCTTTCAATTGTCCCTTCTTTTTTTTACAATCTTTATTCTTGGAACTTGGAATATTTATTAAACACTAACTTCTGTTGTTGGGTAAAAAACCAATTCTTTAGTTTACTTGACTCATTTTAAAGCTCACATCCCAGCGTTTTCAAACTCTCCATGCCCTTCCCGCTAAATTTCTCGGGTAGCATTTTAAGCTATCAGTGACCCTTTGGCGACCTTTTCTGAGTTCACTTCAGAATACATAGTTTCATGCACTTTCTTTGTTGTTCACATTAATTTTGCGAAATTTACAGGACATTTTACTTTCCTCTCTTTTAGTATTTTTGCTTTTGCACAATCATTTATGGTTGTCAGTGCCAGCTGCGTTCACCACACACTGTGCCGAGATTTTTCCTTCAACCGTGCTTCAGTTGGCTTTCTCCATTTTTTTTTCTTAACACTACTGCCTTCGGAAGTCACCTCATTTTTAGTGGAAAGACTGATTATTCCCATTGACTTATGTCCTGCCAATTGGGGCGCTTCATTTCAATCTTTACGAGAATGGCTCAAACTTTGTTACTTGATTGCATCACGTCAGTACTAAAAGTGGCAATTTTTAAGTTATTACTCCCTTCTAGATGAGGCCTTCTTATGAACGTACAGAGGTGTGGCAGCCAGGTTGAGTGTGGAACGTAGAGTTATTGCGTTGGTCTGAGTGTCAGATCGCCCAGTGGCATGCATTGACGGAACCCCTTGGGTGTGCGCTGCCCAATTCAAGCCTTGAACAGGGGGTTGGCGTGCTATGCGCTGTTCTCTATCATCCTTCCCACTTAGTACACTAATGACACAAAGTTGATGCGCTTTGGTTGTTTTATGGTTATTTCCGACCAGCATGTCAATGTGACATCAATCTCTCCTCGCAACTCAGGCTCCCGCTGAGTGAAGGGGAAGGGGATGGTGAACCTATGTCCACGTTGATATGATCTTGGTCGAATGTATGGTCAAATAAGCTTTGGCTCAGTGAACTGTCCTCCTCATTTGTGCACCGATGGGAACAACTTTCTCTGCCCGTGCTCCTCATTTCTTATTGTTGCTTTAAATCTGGCTGCATCGCGGTGTCTATGCATCCCTGCTGCTTCTTTCCAATGATAATCTTACGGAGGCAAAATTAAACGGAATTTATGAAGTGATGGTGTCGAAAAGACGAAAAATGATTACGCACAGTGATCGTATCAAAAGTGAACTTCTTACAGATAATTAAAAATGATTTGTAATCGTTATTGCAAAAACTAGCGTTTTCCATCTTCGAGAGCAATTGACAATGTACTGAGAGGCAGGTCATTACTGCTTCAGTTGATTTCGCTTTGAGCCTCCAGAGGGTCGCTATTGCTGTCGCAGTGCCATCTTAGATTGACTCGGTCAACTTATTCTTACAAAAAAAGTTCAACGATTTTTAATGTTGTCTTTGCACTCTCGATGTGGCCGTTTAAGAAGTTCAAGTTGAAATTAGCGTGACAAATTAAATCATGCAAAGCGAGACTGAAATCTTGACGGCTCCTCTTGAGCCCTTTTTTCGTGTCAAGTCCTAGCCGCCCTCCTCGACACCTATTGAAAGACTACTGCTCTGAAATCCTTACATGAACAGTCTGTCATTTTTTTTGGCAATTTTAAGTCGTTTTCATCAGGTCCTTGATGTTACTCAGGTCAAATTCGTGAAGTTATTTCGGCTCCAAATGGATTTTTTCTGGTGCTCTTTTGGCGGTTTTCGTTCCTTTTGTTTCCTCGTCAACATACCCAACGGGATATCGCAATGTATTTTGGCTACTGACTTGCCTTTACAGACTTGGGACAGTACAAGGTCCTTGTAGAACCATATAACCGCCTCGGCGACCGCTATGGATTGTGTCGATGTTAAAATCCCCGCTGCTTTCAGGCTCGTTAGTAGATATTAGAAACTCATTTCTGACTTTAACTGCAATGGACCTATCAATCGTTAGAAGTTAATATGTTCACTGCTCTGAGATCGCCTACCTTGAGAACAGGTTGCTTCTTTACTTCTCTTAAACTTATGGCGTTTACCACAATCTACTGTATCTTATTTCTCTTACCTGCTGTAACTTTGTGCTACCTTTTGGATGGATTTTAGCACCTATGTTCTACCCTCTCAATCCTACCACTCGAGGAATCCAACCTGTTTCGTCTCACGTTCATAAAACAGACAAGAGCCCATTTATTTGGCACCGATGGTTGAATTAGGGTGTTTTTTACAACCCTCCAAAAACGTTCAAACTATGGTATTTCCGTTGTAAGCATTGGGCAAGATTTTAACCAAAAATGAGTAGCACTGTTGAAATTCAACTTTGCTCATCTTTAAAGAAAGTCCGATCTTTTGCTTCCTCTAATTAAGTGACTTCAGAAGGTTCTACTGCCCTACGAAATTTATCTGGGCTAGATTTTCAAGCTAATACCCTTTTTGTACTAAATGACGATATGCAATGAAATTTCGATGCCTCGCGACCTCAATTAAGAAGGCGAAGGAGGGCAGCATGCTAGAATAGGATATGCACTATCAATCTACGGGAAGGTTTGGGATTAACGGCACGGCTCAAGGTCAGGCCGCCTGTTGAGTTTTCTTGCGCCCACCGCTTCAATTCTGCAATCTGGCCTTGAATATACGAAACTGACTTTTGGACACTTGCTGTAGTAGTCATTGTTGCTGACGTGAGTTGATTCTTCCATGCCGCCATTTAGATCACGTAAATTTGGTCCACCAGTTTTTTCCTTGATGTTAGCCGCGTGCTTCACGATATCACCCTTCACAAATAGTCTCTTTGCTTGTATTTTAATTCACCCACATCCCTTGTTGGTTATTTTAGCTCTTTCACTTGTGTTTGATGTAGTGTAAAATCCATTTACAGCCTCCCACAACGATGCTTGATGACATTGCTTCTGTTGTGGTTTTTTTCATCTTTGTCTGTGCTCGTCCATTCGTTGGTGGAGTGGTGATATGTTGAAAAAATGCCTTCTGTCAGATTGCTTCGTAACCAAGGGCAGTATTATCTCAGTGGCTTCTTTTTCCTCGCCCATGATTATCATGCTCCTTGTATGCGTGAGCAGTTAGCTTGAATTGGAATTTTTAAAAGCAATACAGCTTTTTTTCTCATTCTGTTGGTCTGAGTCTTACGGAACCAACTAAAGTTGATGCGCAGAGAACATCTTGACACGCCTCCTTCACCTGGCAGATGATTGGCTCCTGCTGTCCGTGACGCGTTCATTCACTTCATCCTTGGGACTGTGATGAGCATTAGGAACTCACATATTTCAGTTTCATTCCTTGTGTCGGAATGGTCGCTATATTCTAAGCGTTTTAAGGGTTCATTGCAAAACATCACCCTTGCATGAAAAGGCCCTTCATCGCCTTGTTTGAGGCTGTCATCTAGCATTGAGTTGCTTTATTGCAATAAGTTAGAGGTTAAAATTTTTGTCATTCCAATTTCTGGTCACTGATAATGCACGTAGTTGTAAACACTTATAGCACTGATAACGGCAAAATTCTCTCCCTCTCTTTGATTTATGCATGTCGGAAACCGTTTGTGTAGCCATCATCAAAGGTTTAACCTCACTGCCAAATTGTGTTCCACTATCCAACTATACCTTCTTTGTATTTTTAAGAAGAATATTTTGTGTTTTGTCGCTCAATTTTTCCAAGGTGCTAATTTCTGATGTGGGCCGTACTAGTTGCCTTTTGGAATAGTACCTCATTGCTCTCACGTGGCATTGGCTTTCGCCATTGTAGCGTTACTTAATTGTGCGATTCATTTCCTTACTACGATAGTAATTATTTTTTTATTTTATGGCCTTCAGGTGCATTCACCACCTTTCTTCTCATAAGCATGCTTTGCGAACTTGACTCCGATAAATTGGTGGACAGTGGGTTTTTGGCCACTAGTTTTGAGACTTGAAAAAATTGTAAACTATTTGCCAGGCATCATAGTTACACTAGGAGTATTCCTATCGTTAGTTGAAATATTAAATCCTCTATTTTGCTTTCAGATATTTGTATAAACGTTTACGCCGCTTTGGCAGCAAAGCTATATCACAGGCTCTCACATTGACCTTCTTGGCAGTATGGCACGGCTTCTACAGTGGCTACTACGTTAACTTCTTCCTCGAATTTGTCACCATCTACGCCGAAAAGCAGGTGGGTGTGTGGGTGTGTGTTCAATGTTCTTGCCCTTCACGCTTCCCTGTTCGTTGGTCAATTTGACTGTTTTTAGGTGCCACAATCTGTGTTAACCAGTTTCCTGGGTAGCGAAAACTATGGTCAGACTTTACCTACAACCAATCGACAGGAACTCCTTGTGAAAGTCATAAACATCCTTTTTTGAAATTTTCTTTACCTTACGCGATGAACCTTTAATCATGTAAACCAGATGGACTGATCGTAGTTTTTTGAACCTATTTAAGACATTCCCTTAGTGGCTCCTTAGGCCTTCTTATTCAGTGTAACAGGTACAGCAAAATAGCAGAAAGCAATGATCATAGGCATTGTCCGAGCGCAGTAAATGTCCGGGCTAATGCTGGTATGGCCTAAAGGCGATCTCAGTCGGTCATGGAGCAGGAGCCAATCGGCTCGGTGACGTGTTACAAAACCCAAGCGTTCAACTAACAATTCACGTGTTACAGTCAGTACTACTATGACAAACATGTGAGGCTCTGTGACCTCGGTATTACGCGGCTTACCGACCTCTTGTGCGTCCGCTCCTCCTGTCACTTTTGTGAGGGCCATGCTGCTACTTCCGCAGCCAAATACCACCAGAAAGACGCCATTTGCAACAAATTAGAAGCGCGAGGTCATCGTGTTATTTGTTAAAAAGTGCACGCCAGCTTGTGTGCAACCTTTTTTTTCTGCTAGACTTTAAATTCATCTTCACTGTATAGGCGTGTTTTGAACGCATATCTTCTAACCTTGCCCCGGAAGTAGTGTGGAAGAATTCGCTTTATTCATTCGAGCACCAGGTGGCGTGGCTTGATAGAAGCTAAGAAGATTTCAGTAGTAATATACCCTCTTAAAACGCCTCTGTCATTCTACTCATTTGTCTTCATTCCTTCCATTTGATGGATTTATGGGTTGACCTTCATAAAGAGCAAACGTAGAACGGAAGTTGAGGCCTTGGCGGTGTACCTTTCTAAAAGACTACGGTGGACTTTTTGTGCTACCCACTCTTTGTCGAGACGTCCCCATCAAAAGTTGTTTAGTTCGGCGGTGTAGCTGTTTGTCTTGGATGTGCCCAAATTTTGGTGTTAGGCCTTACATGCGGAGCTTCAATTTGTCCTGAAGACTTGATGAGTCATGGTAGCGAAAGTGATAACTTGGCCTAAGAAATAAGGGCTTAGCGACCAGGATGGAGGAATGTAGATAGAGTCTTGTACTACTAGACTAGAAAGGCCTGAGATTAGTTGCATGCTTCACTTTATCTTATTTCCCTTCATAGTTTTTGGCTATCGTTCACCACTCCATATACGCGGATTTCCTATACGGGACATTGGCGGGCAAAATCATCACCACTATCACTGGGAAGCTGCATATCCTCTTCACCCTCTCCAGTCCTCTGGTGGCATTCTCCATGCTGCGTGCATCGCTGTGGATTCCGGTTGGTGAATGTGTTCTCAATATATTTTTATGACGTTAACCAAGCTTTAATGCTAAAATTTAGCTTCGGCACTTTGGGCTCATGATGAGGGCGAACTTTTATAATTACTCAAAGCAGGAAAAACATTTATTCTTTTTTTAATGGTCTAGAAATAGGTGTGTTGAGGAAGCTATTGCGACAACACTCTCTTAAACTAGTGCAGCTGAATTTGCAAAAAAAGGGTAAAAGGTAGGTGCGAAGGAGGCGTCCCTGTCTGCTGTGATAGAGTGTAAATGGCACGTAATTAAGCATTGGCAGTAACTGTGCCAATATCTCTTGTTCTTCCTGCGGTCGAAATAAGGTCGTGCTTCTCCAAGGGCGGTTTCTCGAAAGAATAAGTATTCGTTCTATCCGATCATATCGATAGTGAATTAGCATTTGACCTCGGTCCTATGCTCATGTCGTGACTTATCGTGCAACATTATCTTCTTGCAATTGTCTCAGTGGTATGCCGCTGGCCCACGGATCCCCCTTTTTATTCATTGTTTTTTGTACTTATCTTCATCTAGTGTCATGCATTTGTTGAGGGTTTATTTTAGCCTGAAGTTGTTAGACCATGAGGCTCTACTACCACCTTGGTCATGTAATCTGTCACTCTGACGAAAGGATAACCACATAGGGATCCTTTTGTGGAGCATCAGGATATTTTATTTTCCACGACTGAGATTTTAATGATTTTTAATATACAGGTATTCAACTCAGTTTACTGGATTGGTTTCGTCTACCTCCTCTGGCCGTTAGCAGCGCCTTTAGTGAAGAAGGTCTTTCCACCGAAGCCGCAAATGGAAGTCCTAAAATCGGATTCCTAGAAACCCTCTCCCTCCTTTTTCGTTCTTTTCAGTTGTCTCATTGTGATGAGAGACACTTTGTCGACTGCCACAATCTGGCTCTACTTCACTGGCGTGACGCTGCACAAGACGCCTTCTTTCTACTTTGCTTTCAGTGAAGGCATAGGGGTTTCTAGCCCTTTCAACATCCGTGAATTAGAAACAGCTATGCCTTGTCACATGTATTTTGCACCAATTTGGGAAGGGGGCTACAAAATTAACCATATACTATTATTTAAGTGTTTTCAGTATCTGCACTTTGCGCAACGTAAAAAAATTCAATCTGTTTGGCCATATATAAAGCATAGATTGTCATTTTGCTGAAGGTTTGGAGGCACACTGAGATAGGCGAATATCGTGACAATGACTCAATCGATCTTAGATTTATCCATTTAGCTTTTGGACTGACTGCTCATTTGAGCTTCATGTGAGTGGCCTTGAGGACTTTAGACTTATTCACCTTTTTAGCAGTTGCAGTCTCGTTATCAGGACCTTGGTGGTGTGCTGTCTCTGCGTCAAGATCTAGGAGACGAGAGTGGTTATGCAGGCTCTCCTATCTATGTGGGTAGTAGCCGTTCCTCAAATGGTCACATAGGATTTCAATACTAGTGGATTAAGTGCCATTTGATGAGTCACACAAGCTAAGCTATCAGTGATCAGAACGGAATTCGGATTGCATTTAGGACTAATCACATCGGAGCCCGTTGATTTCTACTTCACACCTTTTCACGGGACACTTTCTTATGCAACCTATACCAGGTTTTGAATCAGCGACAGAACTGTTATACAACGCCGTGGTGACACGCATGATTTGGCGTACTCAGTTCACGTAAATGACAGTGTGTTCGCACTTGTAACACCTCCATTAAAGAAGCAATTATTTTAATATTCGGGGACTCAAAATGTCATTAAATTGGAATTATGTCCATTTTATTTCCTCTGCTGCTACTTTCATCCCTTTGTAGGAAAGCCACGCTATTATACGTGGTACACTATAAAGCTGCATAATTTTATTTATCCTGGTCAGCAATTGCGATCTGCATATCTATGTCGCAAGTGCTAACTTCTGAGATAGGAAGAATCCGATTCGATTTATTTCAAAATAGATTTGACAACAAGAATCATAGAACTTAAGTGTGCCTACTCCTAATAATGGGTAACAAGGCGCTATGGGAGTTGAAAGTATAATTGTTCTGCTTTGGCCGTCCTCTATGTCCAAAATGGATCGTAAGTTAGTTGAACTCGAAATTTGTCAAAATGTGAGCGTTGGCAAAAAGCTCACCTAAATTATGACAATTTGCATTCGATAAACATAATTTAAACTAATTATTATAATTTTTACAGTGTCGGCGACTACTTTGATCTTGTTTATTTGCAAATACAAAAGTAATATAAACCTTGCAAAGTAAATTTACTAAATTTAATCATACTTGAATCCATAGGCTAACGTTATACTTAAACTAAGGAACATGGTATCTTTTTATTTATTTATAATGTCATAGTATCGTTCTTATCCTACCTTGCATTTGTTTTACTCGTTGAACAAAATTATTTCGACTTGTATGCTGCAAAATGATTGGCTTATATACTTTGCTTGTTACTGTTGTTTTATTGGTTTGCTCCTCAACCAATTAATTTTGTCCTATCCCATTAGTAGTAATTGTTGGGTCATTTGGACTTAGTCGCGTCGTCGTGCGGTATAGAAGTCGATGAGGAACCTGAAGAAGTCACAATATTCTCTCGTAATTTTTTTTCTATTTATTGAATTTTAATTTTAGCGGAAGTCATTGGCGAAAGGTAAACACCCTGTTTCCGTTGCAAAGGCTTCAAATACATCAAGTAGAATCATGGGCCGTGTGGCTAGGGGTGAGAAAACAAAGACGGGAGCTAAACGAACTCGTGGCAGACCACGCACCAAGGATCCAAAACCTACACTAGGGACTAAACGTCATAAACCCTCAAGTGCTAGTTCTGCCAACGGGACGAAAAGTCCTCAAAGAGACACCAGTTTGAGTCCAACACATCAGGAACCGCCTCAGCTTGAGCCAATGCCGGCTGTGGATGAAGATGACGACCTCGACATTCCAATTAGCTTTCCTTCCCTCATTTCCGTTGACGATCATCTTCGTCCGGGAAAGTGTATTATTATTTGTCCTGTGGCGAATTGTCGTAAAAAGTTTTCTAATCCCATCGAACTGGTATCTCACCTACGAGTTTATCACGAAAATGACACCTTTTCATCAGTAAAAATTCACACTTGTCCCATTTGTCTTAAAACACGCTTCAGTTCGCACACTACCAGTTCCGATTTAACCCTTCTCTCAGAGCATGCAGCACGCTATCATGGACAGACTCTGAAACAGGTAATGTCACCTGCCTTGGCATTATTCTTGATTTCTCCTTTAGACTGAATTTATCTACTTTTGTACCATCGTTTTGGATGTTGTAACTGGAGATAAGGCCACACAGAAGAAGGAGGAAAACAATCTTTTGAAGAAGGAGGCCAGTTGCATGATCCAGCAGTCTAGTTCGGATGGTCAATACTGTCCTATTCTTCCTCTAGTGCCTAATTCTACTGCAACAGAAATTCGTGCTGGTAAGCCGCCTTCGTCCTTAGTACTACAACTGTAGTAATTATTTGTGATTAGTTAACACTTATGGAGTTTCGTCAGTGTATTTGTTTGCATTTTAACGGAGTATTGCTGGCGTCTTCTTCCACAGTGTTATTTATGCTGAATTGTTAGGAGTTGCCTTTTTTCTGCATTAATTTTTTGGCGTGTTTGTATCAAGTAGGAAGGCCTTCTAGCTTGCTATAGAACTTCGTTGATTAACTCATTGTTCATGTTAGGTAAATTTAATATTTAGCCTGGGAGGACAGATTACTTAGTGAAGAATGTGCCGTTTTTAATCACTTGGCGTAGGTGAACTTGCTCACTTCGCATTCTCTTGGGTGACATCAAATTTCTTTGTGCCTTCAACCGTGCACTCAACCCGAATCTCTGGTAAACTGAAATTGACGCCGAACGAGAACTTAAGGCGCTTATTTTCTATCGCTCTTTATCACTTGCTAGTTTCACGATTTCGTCGAGTTACCAATCACATACCTCAAGTTTACTCTAGCCAATTGTCGCTGAAGTTTTCCTTATGCAAGAACCAATCAAATGCATGCGTTTCGTTTTCTAATTCACCTAATCCCCTTGTATGCGTGTGCGCGTGTGTCCATTCAACAACCACTACCCTTGTCTCATGACGTAGTGGCACAGCTCTTCTTCACATTATATTGATAGCGCTTGGTTTTTGTTTCGCATTAAATTAAGTGACTTATAAGTCCAGAGAATAAAACCATTTACTGCAGTATGAATAGCATAATCATAGGCATCAAAAATCATCGCGATAATTTTCCTACTCGCTTGTCGGATCTTTGATCAGTTCTTTAACTTGGGTATTTTGCCACTAGATTGCGCGCTTTTATTCATCTGTTCGTCATCTGATGTTGTATTCATTTCCTCTTTGACCTTCGGCTTGCTCCACGAATCTGTTTGGTGTTTTGCTCAAGGTGATCAGCTACAGGGACCGTGTGCTATATTTGTAGCTTATAAGCTACGTTTGGGCTTCGGAAATGTGAGATGCTAGTTTGGTTTCAACTTCATGTTTCCTTTTGAGCTAGGCCAAAGGCATGAGTAATTGGTGTGTTGAGTCATGCTTGCCCTCTCATTGCAGTCTGACCTTACGAAAACTTCTTTCCCCAGGAATGCCAAGATTGGATAGGTTTCAGTTGGCTTAACTCGACTTGGGTCATCTAGTCTTGTTTTCAGCAAAGATCTCGATGATCGCCTTTTCTATGACTCAAACGTCTGACCGAGTTCCTCAAAACTATTTTCAAAAGTGTTTGTTGGAGCTTATTTGCTTGCTATTTTCCGATTTCAACTGAATCAATCATTTTGCTTTTCCTAGCTTTCTTATGCTATCACATCGATGTTGTGGTGTCTATTTTGTTTAATATTCTAAACTGCTTGACGTTCGGATTTTCGTGACGCCTGTGTCTTCCACTTCGTGCGCATCGTAAAGTAGCTCAAATGCTGCGTTATAAAATTGTGCTATCTTGTACTCCTACTGCATGGAATTCCAGCTTAAGGCATCCAGCAAATTAATCACGTTTTGAGCTGAGGATTGTTTATTTAGTTGGTGCATTTGTGCATTCGATTTTCATTATTACCGCTTAAAAATAGGTTGCTGTTTTTAGCGCATATTCACGAAAACATTATTAGCTGGCCACTTCTCGACCATGTATGTACGACATTTTTCGGACTCCTTTCTACTCTTATGTGTTCATTCTGCTGCCATTATTTATTTGGCGATAGTAATAATGACAGTCCATTTTCTATGAATTTTAAAAATTTCATCGTGTATTTCGTAATCATTTCCTTCCAATTCGCACCTTTTCCTAAGGTGTTAATATGTGTGGCCAAGTCACTATAATCCTTCCTTCACTCATCTTGTGCAAAGCAAAACTCAGCTTTTAAATTATTGCTTTTTAGCCTATAACTTCGTAACTCATGATAGGATTTTCAACTTTTCTGACTATTATCTATCAGCTCGACGTAATTTTCCAATGATTAGGTTAGCTCTACTGCGGATTCTAACCTTCATCCTCGAATCATCGTATCTAATGAAGGGAACCACATGTAATGAACGAGCCAAAACGTTTGTTTCACGGTCCTATCGGCTTGATTAATTTTTCCAGCCATGAGAGCGATGGTGGTGTTTGTCGTCTGCAGCTTCGTCTATCACCTCGCCTCAGAGCCAATGAAGGCAGTGCGTGTTATACGTGCACAACCAAACTGCGCACTCGTTGGTGCGCACGTATGTGCGTGTTGCTCAACACGCGTATCATTGGCCTCTGCCTGAGGCTTGCCATCGTGGTGACACTGATTGTCATTCTGATTGGTCCCTTGGTAGCCAATTGGCGCCTAAGTCGTCTTTTTTCATTAACCCTTCTATCGACAGGGCCTAGCATTTTTTGCTGGCAGTGTTTTACAATACTTATGAAATTACCTGTCTATCTGCATGGTGTAAATTATTCATCCCTTCGAGTTAATGTAAAACTGAACAACATTATTGTATCACATCTGTTAGGGAATTGAAGTCGAAAACGGCGACACTTACACGGCTTACTGAAGTCTTACTTGCACAAGTCATATGGAACTTGAGCCGGAAATTAAATTGTGTGCCTTGACCCAGCTTCAGTCCCGTAGGGTCAATCTATACGCACATACTTCTCCCTATTGAAGCCCTTTGATGGTATTAATTTAATAACGCCAGCTAGTTTGACCAATTCCTAGATAGTGTTCTTTCCACTAGTAAAAGCATGAAATGGGGTGTCTTGCTAAGAAAAAGATGCCTTTCAAATATGCCATCGGGAATGTTCAAGTACATGAATCTTATCACTTCCTCGCAAATTCGGTGTGACAACCAATTGACTGGATGCTTCACCGCGTCATTGATTGGCTGGTTGTTGGGACAGTTGGCCAATCGGTGAAGTCCCTCATCGGACGCTCTCCGTTGGCAAGTCACGTTTGTTTACTGCTAAGGGAAACCCATGGGTATTCTGCGTTTGTGTGCAGGCGTGGATGCTGCGTGCGTGCGTGCATGCCAGCAGGTCAAAAGGTCTATAATTATTCTGTCTATATTCAGCCTTGATCTCTATTTTTATGCGTACAAACTGAGTTTCGAGTTTCATTTTGTCATTTTCATGTGCTTCCATTTCAGATCTGGCATTTAAGTAGGCGGAATCATCAGCTGCAATTGCAAGTAAAAGTGATAATGGTGTACATAGGCGCAAGTTACACTACAATGACTCAAGTAGCAAGTGTAAATGGGAGGAGGAATTCATCGTAAATTACTTCTGTTCGAGAATTTTAAAAATCGGAGACTTTCGCTGATCAGTTTAAACTTAGTAGCATATCAAGTCGATTAGTGTGTTTTTTTTTCACATCTCGTGATTTACCGCTTCGTTTGGTTCGATTGCACACAATAGTATCCAATCGTAATGGAGATGGTTGTGACCTCAAATCAACCAATCAATTCACGATGAGGAGACTGCTACTATCATCATGCCTATCTAAAGCATAGTCGATGAAAAGCCTATATACAATTCTAATTTCTATTTATCTTAAGATGTAAATTCGCCCAAAGTTGCGCGTGTCACCACGGACAGTCTAGGCCTTCGAATGCCTTCTGCGGCGAGTCATTTTATTCAAATCTCCCCAATGTCACAGCGTCTGGCAAACAGTACTGTCAATAGTGCTGCTGCCTGTACTACGGCTCCCCAGCCGGTGTTTGCTGCACTGGCAGCTGTTGCAGGTCAGCTGTCAACCGGAGGACCACCGACCTTGCTTCTTTCCTCCGCCCCGTCTACCACTGCTAACAGTGTCACCGTTCCCGCCTCTACTACAACTGTCTCTGAACAGCCCATTCTCATAGCCCCTACTGGTGGAATCTGTGCTGGTACCAATTCAGCTAAACCCCTCCCAGGTCAGTTTGAATTGTCTGTGCACATTAGTAAGTAGGCAAGTTAGTAGGCTGATATTTGCTAACGCTTGTCTACGTTTCCTTGTGTGCATGCATATGTGCGTATTTCTGTACAGCTCCCATTGGCCGTGGTGTCTGGCGACAACAGTAGTTGCAAAGATTGCTATGATTGGCTAACTGCTTCTCCGTTCTCTTCATTGGCTGGAGTGTGTGTATGGCTGTGAGTGTCGCGCGGTTTCTGATGCGTAAAGACTCCAGTGCAGTCGTTGGCCGTGCTGTCGCTTAATCATAGTCACCTTTGAATTGCTCTCCTTCGCCTCTTAGCGTATAAAGTATGGACTCCATTCTACCGTCATGAGTGAGGTCAAAGGAGAAGCTTGTTACCCGCCATAGCCGTAGAGATTTTCGGCATTGGGGATAAACAATAAAGTAACCATAACTTGCATGCTAAATCCACACAAGTAAATCGTACCTAATAGCAATATCATGCTACTTTTCAATGTGAGTAGTTGTGAAATTGTGACTGGTATGTGTGCAGATTGGAGTAATCAGAAGGCAGACTTTCGGTCTACTGCCTTTCCCGTTAGATTTCCTGTTTACTCCTCCTTCAAATATCCAGATTTCTCATATTATTTCCAAAGCACACGTGAGTTCGTCTCACTTCTCCCAAGTAAAAAAGTTGTGCTTTCTTGAAAAGTGATGCAAAGTACTGAAAATACTGTAGCGTTCTCGCACACAGACCGTGTTGTCAAAACTCAAGAAGGTGATTGCTCGACTTATGGTCTCTTCTGATTGACTGGTTAAGTGCTAGTCTTGAGGTGACGATTGTTCCCCTTTCGATTCTCCCCCTTCTGTTAGTGCTTATTACCTCCTCATCAACTGTCCAATCGTCTCCATCAGACGCTAGCCAGACAAACACAATGACCTCCTCACTACATCCACAGTCGTCCAATGCAGCAGCTGCCATAGCGACATTGAAGCAGCTCATCCAGTCCGCCTCAGCGGCTGTGAAATCCCACCAGTCATCTCCGGTGGTGGCCCACGGCTCCACCTCGGTGACTTGGACTCCTGCTGTAGTCTCCTCGGCTGCCAACACCTTTTTATCTTCTATTCCTTCTGTTCAACCCACTACCGCCCAACCTAGCAGTATTTCTGGTAACTTTTTCTCCTAGATAAAGGAATTCATTTTTGTGAATTTTTTTTTGCACAAATTAGGGTCGCATATTATCAGAGCATGCCGTTCAGGACTTATTACCAAGCCCTATAGCCTAAATTGGGTTTATTACTTTTACGAAGCAGAATAATTACCAACATATGTGGGGTTATTTCCACAATTTTTCGTTTTAATCATCAACCTTGCCCACTATTCACAATTTCGGTTTCACAATTGGTATCCAAATTTTGGCTCCTGTTCTTTCGTTATGCACATGCGTTGGTGCTTGTAGAGTCCTTTCTGATTCCCAGTCCTTTAATTGCTTTACGTATTCAGCCACCAGTGGGCAAGTCACCTATCAGCAAAGTCGCTTCTCTTAATTGGAATTGTGCAGATCCTTCTCGGTTGGGCTTAAAAGCCTTTTATTCGCAAAATCTAAAGCTCACATAAATCGCTTTTTTGTCTACTTCCATTGGAAGTACTAGCGAAGTAGTTCATGACTGTGTAGCCATTTTTTTATTTCAATTGACGATGAATTTGCATGTCTGTCAGTACTTCTTTTCATCTAATGACCTACTTTCCGTCTCTACCTTTTCGTGGTTGTGTTCTGTGACATGTTTTGGCATGAATTGGCAGCGTTTTGCTGTTTTAAGGATTTCAACTTTCACCTCTCTTTCCGAAATAATTTTGATTTTTTTGAAGCTTACACCTGTGTAAAACACGTTGAAAGGTAGCGAGAGTTTGACCTTGCCACTAAATTCCTGCATTTACTTGTGTTGTTTAGGCGTGAGTGATCTGCAACCTCTGGTTTTCTATTTGATTTTGATGACTTTCAGGCGAAACGTAGGAAGTTTTTCGTTGATTGATGCACGATGAGGCAAAACTCAATATGTTCATTAAAACTTGACATATAGCGAAACAAATACCATTGAGATATAATGAGGTTTTTAAAATGTTTGTCTAGCGGCCAAGGTGGTGACCAAAGTAGAACAGCCATCTTCTACCCCAGTGGGCTATCCGTTTGTTCAGGGAGCTGCCATGGTAACCTCACCAGGGTCGGAATTGGACTCAAATTCCGATCTAAGTTCCTTTGCCTCCGCCAATGCTGATCTTCTGACTTTGGCTCGACTCTCCGTAAATCAGGCCTCTGCTGAAGCCATAAATAACGGCAGTGGCAACAATTCCATCAGTAGCAATAATAGTAGCAGTGTTCAGGAAACCCCACCGCCGCCTCCTTTACCACCACCCCCACCACCACAGCCGTCTCAACCGAGCCAGCCGGCAGCTTCTCCCACTTCACGAAATCGCCGTCTCCTGCCACGTAAAACAACTTCTGCCACGACCACTGCTTCGGTCAGTGCTCCCATTCTTCTCCGTAAGCGTGTTGCTCTCCCACCATTGGCGGTAAAGCCTCCCAAAGAGTCCATAAATTCCACGCCGAATTCCACGGCACTGCCAGCACCAGCAACCACTCAACAACCAAATCCACCGACCTCTGCTCATTCGGCTCTTGTCGGCGGTGTTGGTAGTGTGGACAGCGTGACGGCATCTGATGAAGCGCCGGTAATGACCGCAGCTCTAATTAACCCCTCCTGCTCCGCATCAGCCACCACCACCCTCATTCCCTCGAGTCTGGGCAGCATGTTGGCGAAGTCGCGGTTGTTACAAGCCAGTTCCTCGCCATCAACCTATATTAGTGTGCAGCCCCGACCTGCTCCGCTGTCTGTTGTGGCCTCTGCGAGTAACCAACATCACCAATCATCGTATCAACAGCAATCACAGCAACAACAGTCGCAGCAACATCTCATCCAGCGGGTGGTGCCCACTATTCGACCCGGTAGAGTAGATACATGCTTTCCACTTATGCGATATGACTAATTGATTACCTTCCGTATCAACTTTGCAATGTTACCAGAATTTGTTCGAAGACAAGAACAAAAAGCCTGTAAACCAAGGTGGATATGTTATTTACCATGGCTATGTTGTTTCCATGCAGTTGGCCATTCCTCTGTTGAAACACGCATTTCGATTGATTTTGTTTCATTTCCTTGCCATGTTGAATTTTGTAGTAAGTGTCATTTTCGTATGGGTTAAATGCTAATAATTCATAGTTCTCCAAAAATTGTCGCTTTTTATCAGTGCGTCTATGCATCCGTCAGAGGTGTGCAATAGAGTTATGCCAGAGTTAAATTTAAGCTAGCTCATCTTCAACTACACCTCGTTTTTAGCCCCCCTTCAAAAGATCCTTCCACGGCCCAATACCACCACTATCCCAGTTACCACTCCTACCTCCATTTCCGCACCTGTCACTTCCACAACCAGCGCCACTGTTAGTGGCAAGGAAATGCGGCCGCTGCTCTACTCAGTCTCAGCACCGTTGATAGCCCAGGCACCAGTTACTGTGACTGCGAACGCCATTGTTACGACACAAGCTGGCAGTGGGAGTGTGATAGCCCCTGCACCTGTTCCCACTACTACCACTTCCACCAACACTCCAATCAAGGCATCAGCAACAGTCTCTTTCTCCCAGGTAAATGGGAACGGTGCTGCGGTGACCACTACGCCTTCTAGCGCCGTCGTTGCAGCTTCCACCACGAACACCCCAAATACCGCAGCAGCAAGCAACTCCGCATCCTCAGATGAGGGTCCCAGTGCCCTGGTCATCTGCACCTCGCCTTCCGAGTTAAAGTAAGTTGAATTGACAGGTCTGAAAGTCTTGACTGCTTCACACAAACTGAAGGGGCGAATCACTCCTTCAGTTTAAGATTTCGTGGTTTTTTTGTCTCTGCGATGCCCTTGAACAAATATTTTTTATTTGGACGCATGGTCTTAACGCCACGCTTTATCACTCGGATCGAACGACGGTCATGTGGACCCACGGACGGTCTTATTGAAATGGTACACTCAGACTGATGCTTTGAATGAAAAGTAAATTGTTAGTAGTGCTTTTAGTTTAAATATTATGCAATTATCGTAAGATAACTTAATAGGGTAAAATGTCTTCGACTTTTATGACCCCCTTTTAGCATTTCCACGTAGCCTATGAGGTCAGAGGTAGTATTTGGACCAACTCCTTTCTCAGCCACCTACTACTTTGTGACACCTGGTACTCAGCCGTCTGCCTGCCTTCGAAACCACTGCCATCACCACATCTACCACAATCCTTGTACAGCCTCCCCGCCCTCTGTCCTCTTCCACAGTGAACCCCAACAATAAGACAAGACGCCTTAATGAACGTGTTTTGATGAATTTGTAGTCCCCCTCCTTCTCCTTCATTACTGAACAGAGCTCTCATCTGCTCACTCAACCAATTATTGGTATTTGAGCGCAAAAAAAAACTCACACACACACTTTCCTCTCCGTGCACACTGTCGACATCCCACCTCATTTGAAAGTATGCCGTGTGGGTGCGCGCGGCCAAACTTGCGTCTGGGTATGTGTGATACCTCATATTTGCACGAACGGTTTGTCAAAGCTGGCAACTACTGTTAATGACAGTGGTGCTGATACTGATGTGTGTTTAGTTCTATTGGTGTACACTTTTGTGAACTCGCTTTGGGTCTTGGAGCACATATGCATGTGAGGAGGAGGAAAAAGAAGGAGGAGCAGAGAAGCGATATATTTTTACGTCCGTCTTCTTTTTTTCGCTCATGGGGTGGGTTTTGGAGCGCTGAGTCACTCTCATTAGGAAGCTTTATGAGGTGCTTGCAGCACCGGTCATTACTTTCGACCCCAGGTTTACCCGATTGGGTTTGGTCAGGGATGACCATGTTCTAGACTTCCCACATTTTCTTACTCTGCTTTGATAGGTTCCTTCTTCGACCAATGAGAGAGGTGATTTAACATTGGCTATTGGTGGTGTCTTTATCATGACCAGATCTTGAATCGGTTAACAATTTATGAATTAACGTCAGTCGGAAATCTCTTTTTTTCCCACTGAGATACGGAGGGGACTGCTATTTGGAGAGGAAGGCGGATTGAAGTGGAATCGTTTAGTACAATTTCTTAAGAGTTTTGTAAAGAGAAGTTGGTCCACTGATAGACATGCCCTTGGCCGAGTTATAGCTACTTGCTGAGGTCAAAGCCTCAGTAAGCAATGCGCGCCACAATGAAAAGTGGTAAAATACTTTAGGGTGGAGTATTTAACAAAACTCCAAAGTCTTGATTTGCTTCCTCTTAAGGGTTCACCCACAGGTCCAAATCATTTCAGGTGAAGGTAACTAGTGATAGCTCATCTTGATTTATAACATGATTAAGGAGGTCTTGGTGCAGGTAAATTAAACCATCATCCAATCATGACGTAGGCATGCTTTACAAACCCGGTTTCACTTTTGAAGCGTAGCCTATAGCCCTGAGTGGCTGAGATATTGAAAGTGAGTTAGAAAAATAAGTTCCACGTTTAACTATTCATAAATGACCCTGAATCGGTTAAAATTAGTTCAGATTTCTGCATAATTTTATAATTAACAATCAGGTTATTAGATCACATTTTTCAAAGAATTTGTAGAATGACGTATTAGACTAAGACTTCACAGAGCTGATGACCAAATAGGAAAGATGCAATCAAATATCTCTTGGGAAAATGTGCAACCTAAAAGTTCGCTATGCAAATGTCCCTGTCAATCTTCGATGACTAGAGAACCCATTAACTGCAGGAGCCAAAATTTGTCATCAACTCAGATTCCTCGATCTAGATTGGACAAGTAACTGAAGACTAGTAACCTCTTGACATCTCCACTTTTCGTACCATTTCACAGATCATAAGTAGCGACTCTTAATAATACCTGCTGAGATAACGTAGGCTCAAAGATGTCAAAACACTAAAACCTCTCACCGAGCGCCCGTTGGTGAAGTTTTCACTTGTATTTAATAAAAGCTTAACATCACTGTCATTTGAGGGCCCATATATCTCATCTAATTTCTCCTCCTCACCAATACCAACCAACCCAAATAGAATTAGATGATCTACACTTTTGAGTATCACAAGCCCAAGTGGATCAGTTGGGTCGAAATTTCAAGTCTTACAAAGAATTAATTTTCTATCAAACATTTAAAGGTAGTTAGAAAGCCGGAGATACATGTCAATGTAGCCACACGGGAGAATCACGAAAGGTGACGAAGCAGGAGGCATATTTAAGGCAGGCCGATTCGACTTTTTGTAGTTCTAAAATGCTGACGACATTCTCTCCTGGAATCAGCATACTGGCGGGTACGTAGAGACTCACTTGCGGTCCAGCGGAGGGGTAGTAACGGCCCACAATATGACCATTCACCGCCAAAATACCCTATTTAGCAGAAGTAATGGGCGGTTGAAATTAGATTACTGTATGACCTTGTAACAGCCAATCACAACAGAGCTCATAACCACCAATGAACTTTCAGCAATGACTTGAAGTGCTAAGGCCTGCCCTTTTTGGCTACCATCAAAATGGCAAGTTAACAGAGATGTTAAGTCTAGAGAATGGAATTATGCCATCGTAATGCAAACGTTAGTAGCCAATGCACGACTAAGATGGTTGCAGATTTCTGTATTTGTATCAGGAAATTTTGGCCATCTTAATTGCCTCCCAAGTGTTTGTTGATGTTAGCAGCAGATACGAATCCTACCTACTCAAGAAACATCTACGTGAGAGCAAGGTACAGGCAAAGTACACGACACATGAAGTGCAGTGCGTTAATTTCCTTATTCAATCGGCCGTAAAACGAAATTTGATTGGATCGGTAGAGCAAAAGTGTCACCCTTCAATGCAAGTCAATCAAACCCAAAAGGTAGCTTACTCGAGTGAATCCAGTCATCACAGCGAACGTATCCATTGGTGGGAAGGGTACCTGAAAGACACCCCTATAAATCGTTCCAGGAGAAGGGAATATTATTTTTTCAGTATCGGGACATCTGAGTGAGGAAAAAGAAGGCAGATTGTTGCACAGCAAATAGAGGAGATCAAATAAACGGGACCTAAAGTATGAAAGGAGCTCAAATAACTACTACTAACAATCAGAATGAGGTACAGATAATTCTGACTAGTCTACAAGGGAACACTGAAAATACAAATGCGGCTTTCTCGAAATTCTTTAATCTGGACAAAAAAACCATTGACATATTTTTAAAAAAAGGTATTTACATAGGATCTGGAGGGTTAACGGTCCTGAAGTCGAGAGCCTTCATCAT